AGGTTTATTCCCTCCCCCACAGCCGCGACGCTGACCTCGAACTCCCGGACGAAGCCGGCGATGCCGGAGTACGGCTGGTTGTGGTGTTTCTCATGCGGCAGCTTCTCGAGCGGCGGCAGGTATGGCACCGGGTCCCGCGGCGCGAACAGCGCCAGCAGGTTCGGCGGCAGGAACTGAGTCATGGCGGGAGCCGGGATCAAATCCCCGCTGTCCCCTCTCTCTCCCCCTCTGGGTTACTCGGCCTGTGAGGTTGGGCGGGGGGGTAGAATTAACTCGCTAACTTATTACTCTAACTACTTTAACCAACGCCACCAGGCCTCACGCGCGCCGACAGCGAGGAAAAAACAAAATGGCTGCCGTGCCTCTTCACATTCCCTCAGTATCATTGGGCGCCCCCCTGCCTTGGAAAATACGTCGAAAAATACAATTCCAACCATTGATAATAATGCTTCCCGACGTGATTTTATAAGTTAGTCCCTTTCTCTCTCGCTAAGACTTTACCTTCCGATGTTTTTCTCCATTTACCCTTAGGAACTATTTACATGGTGGCAGAACACCACCCACCCTTTATTTCAAAATAACGATCACTCCAGGGCGGTGGGCGGGATCACGCTCCGAGGAAGACCCGCCTCTACCCTCCCTAGATTGGCTGCCGGTTCGCTGGACCACACCCCTCTTCCGCACGCCGATTGGTTAGGACATGGATGGACAGTTTCCCCGCCCATATGCCACAGTTTTATTGGTACAAAGGCCTGTCATCTTTATTAATACCATGTCAATTGGCTGGCTAGATTGAGTGACAGCCATTTCCCCACCCATTGCCCGGCTCTCCTGCAGTTAAAGAGACAGTATCCCCTCAATGTCAGTGCTGGTGAAGGGTCACCTAAGATCTGGAATGTTCGGTTATGTTACTCTGTCTTGCATGACCTGCTCAATATGTTTGCAGCAATTTTTATATTAGGGCAGTTTTGTTATGTGGTTTTTGAACTCATAAATTGGAGTTGTGGTTCATGAGGGACTGAGAAGGCAAGATCATAAACTGTCTTCAGACTTGGGCTTGCTTATAAACACTTTATTGCATATAAAGGTTAAATACTCTAATACAGAGGAGAAGAAACAGGCTTGAATCTTTTTATTGTCAAGGAGATTGACAGCACAGAAAAAGACCCTTTGGCCCTTTGCATCTGCACCAGTCAAAAGGAACCACCTAACTATTCTAATCCCATTTTCCAGTACTTGGCCTATAGCCTTATATGCCTTGGTATTACAAGTGCACATCTAAATGCTTTTTAAATGTTAACAGAAGTTTGTGCCTGTACCGCCCTTACAGGCAGTGAATTCCAGATTTCCACCATCCTCTGAATGAGAGAGATTTCCCTCACATCCCCTCTAAACTTCCTGCCTCTTTTATCTTAAATCCAAGCCTCCTGGTCATTGATCCTTTCATCAAGGGGGAAGATTTCTGCCTGTCCTCCCTACCTGTGGTCCTCACTTTATGCCCAGTGAGAAAACACTCATGAATTCTACTGCTCGAATGCTAATTGGCCTACTTCAAGCATTTCTCTGCGTGTTTCTAAAATTCACGCAGCTACACCAGGGCTCTGCAAAGCTGTACTTGTGTTTTCCCTGTCTCTCTTTCATTCTAATTTTGTTTATGCGTAGTGAGGAGCAGCACTGCAACATCATCCAGTGTCCCTTGTACAACATGCACCTCTGCCCATGGTTACAGATAATTATCTGTTAACCCTGTGGCTCCCTCTGCATTAGGAAGATCAAACTCAGAATGGGGCATATCACTTCATTGAGCATAACCGTTCATTCCTTAAGTATGACCCTGAGCATCTGGTCACATGGAATATTTTAATTCTCTACTCCCAATCCTGGTCTGAAGCTAAGAGACCACAAAATTCAGAAATAAAACCTAAAATACTGGAGTATTACAGTTCACTCAAAGTTGCTGGGAGCAGAAGTAGGCTATTCAGCCAATTGAGTCTGCTCCTCCCAGTAAGATCACATGTTCTGAAAACATCAAGTCCTCTTTCCTGACCTTTCCACATGAAGCTTGATTGCCGTACCAATTAAAAAAGTGTCCACCTCATACTTGAAGATACTCAACAACCTATCCTCTACAGTCTTCTGCGATAAGGGGTTCCACAGATGAAACTATCTTTCAAGAGAAGAAATTATTCCTCATCTCTGTCTCAAATCCTGGACTCTCCCACAAGGGGGGGGAACAACCTTTCAACATCTATCCTGTCAACTCCTCCTGGAGCTTGTATGTTTCAATATGATCATTTCCTCATTTTTCTAAACTCCAATAAGTATAGGCCCAACTTACTCAAACTCTCCTCAGAAAAGGGTCCTTCCATACTCAGGATCAATCTAGTGTTTATGCATTAGCAATTTTTTAAAACCAATTAATCTTTCTCTCTTTTGTGGACTTTGTATTAATAAAGTTAAGCCTCACCCTGTCCCAAATACTGATCCTGCGCCGTTTAAGAAACCCCCAGCTTGCTTTTAACAAAATTCTAACTGGAACAACTGCACATTTCTTCAGGCTTTGTAACACGTGCCAGTAGGAATTCACATGTACTAACACATGTCTCCAATGTCACAATGACCTTTATTGTGGCTGTTCTGCAAGGTTTCCATTGAATCCATTAATATAGTGTATGGAAGATTTGGAGCTATGACATATGAATAACTGAGTGAAACATTGCATCCCCCCACATTTTGCCCATTAAACCTCACTTTGTTGTCATAATTATCATCATTTCCATTAATAATCTCCATATCCTCATTTGAAATGAAAACATCCTATGTAAACAAGTCACACTGTAATTTCCTGAAAACAAAAAAAATGCTGGAACTTGCAGCAGCTCAGGCAGCATCCATGGAGGGAAGGTAAGCTAAGCTAGATGAATCTTCAGAGTTCTTCTGACACTGTAATTTCCCTCTTCCTCTAGCGATGGCACCATACTGCTTCACCTTCACATCTGTTTAGTTTGGTTGTTTGAGAAGTTCCTGTGATCCAACTAACTCCACTTCTCAACTTACTGTGCTCTTTGCTATTTAACTATACTATAGTATTTTGGTTTTATAGTTATACATAAAAATAAAGACTGCATTTATGACTTAAAAATGCAATCTCAGGGACACCTAATTATCCTCTCACCTGTAACTATATGTATTTTAACCAACCTCTTTGGACAGGCTATATTACACATCTGGGACCGGTGGGACTTGAACTTGGAGATTTTTGGCTCAAAGGTAAGGACACTACCACTGCACCATAAGACCACTGGCCTCCAACTGTATTGTAAAAAATTCTCATCCTCATCTTTCAATTCCTCCTGTAGCCCTGCAATGCTCCAAAATCTCTGTACCCCTCCAACGCATCCCTAATTTTGTTCCAGTATTAGCAGTATGCCTTCATCTATGTAGCTCTGGAACTCCCTTCCTAAACCTCTCCACCACACTGCTTCTGTCCTCCTTTTCTGCTTAAAATCTCTCCTCCTGTCTTTATAGGTACTAGATGATTCAATGCCATATTTCACCTAATCATGTTCCTATGTAGTGCCTCAAGATATGTCACTGTACTAAAAAGGTACTACATTACTGTTTTTTCACCAGAAAGTCTGCGTTTGGTCTATACTGACCTTGTGCACTGCCTCAGAACAACTGGTCTTTTCTGAACTATGCTTAGCAAAGTTAATTGGCAAAAACTGGAGGGAGGGAGGGAGGAAGAGCAAAAATAAAAATTCCACCTTCAATGGTCTGTGGAGCTTTTATTCGCTTAGCAAGGCTGTAAAAGTAAAAAAAAGGCTATTATAACTTTTTGAAAAACCATTCACTATAAACAAATTCAGGGAAATTACAGAAAAATGGCATAATTATATAGTTATGATGGGGGCAGGGGGAACTTCAATTACAGAAGTTTAGACTGGGATACTAGATGTGTAGGGGAGAGTGATGGGCAAGACCACACCTGGAATATTTTGGAAAACTGTTTGCTATTAGCGACTTCAGGCAAATTACAGAGAAATGACAACTGTGACAATGCTGTGGCTTTAAGAGGTATGTTTTGTCCTTGTTTCTTTTGGAGAGATTTGGTGAAACAGGTGAAGAGCATTGAGAAAATAAACAACTTGTGAGACCTTAGGGGTTTTAAAAAAAAAAGTTGGAAGGATCAAAGCAGCCTGAGGGACTGTGGTGAAGCTCTCACAGAACCAGGGATTTTTAAGTTTTTAAGCAGCAGTTGCTGTTGTGGGCTTGAAGAAGTAGAAACCATTTCCCCCCTCCTCTCTAGATTGCAGCCAAAAAGTGGGAGTTCTCTTTAGAGGCTGCATTTTGCCAAAGATGTGTTTATGGGATGTTACTATATTAGAACAGTTGATTAGTAAGAGTTACTGTATCTATTATTTGTTTAATGTTTCTGAGAGTCAAGTTATTTCCAAGGTCTTCTTTCTTTTTTGTACATTTAACTATAGGGTTTGAAAAAAAATTGTATTTTGCTTAACGTTGAGTAGTTTGACAAGTCAAATTGCATCTGGACCACATTTTCTTATTTTGGAGGTAAAAATCAGGTAAAGTTAGAGTGTAGGCTACATTCTAAAAATATTTTTGAAGGGATCTGGTCTGGTCCATAACAAACATTATAAAGTAATAATGGGGTGGTCTTCATTTTGCAAATAGAGACTGAGATACTGGTAGCATAAAGGGACAGTGACAGGCAAGGGTGTACCTAGATTGTGTTCAGGAGAGTTTCCTTCACCACATACCTGTACACAGTCCAACAAGATGCATTGTTGGACCTGGTCCATGGGAATGCAGTAGGCCAAGTAGATCAAACGTCAATGAGGGAATATTTAAGAGATCATAAGGTGCAGGATATGGTAGAGAATGACTTGCAACAATTTAGCACAGTTTTGGTCTCCTTACCAGAGGATGGGTGTTCTGGCTATGGAAGGAGTGCAACAGAGGTTTACTATACTGATTCCTGGGATGGTATGACCGAAGTATTAAGTGACGAGATCAGTTAAGACTGTACTCACTGAAGTCTAGAATAATGAAGGGGGAAAATCTCATACAAACCTATAAACTTTTAACAGGACTAGACAGGAAAAACAAACAGAATATTCGCAATGAGCAGGGATGTTTTCAATGAGTTAGATATAGTTCTCAGGGCTAAGAGGGGTCAAAGGGAATAGGGACAAAACAGGAACAGGGACTGAACTGGATGATCCACCACAATCATTTTGAATGGTGGAGCAGGGTCTAAAGGCAAAATGGCCTTATCCTCCTACCTGTTTTGTGTTTAATAGTCAGAATCAATATGGGAAAGTAAACATTTACACAAGTAAGTCTGAAAAAGGACAATGGAACCAGATACAATAAACTATCAAAAGTGAATTGAAAAACTTCTTGGAAGAGGAATGATTTGCAAGGCAATGGGTGATGTATAGAATCAACAACAGCTGTCAGAAGAGCTAGCAAAAGCATGATGGGCTGAATGGCTTCCCTTTTCTGCTCCTTTACTCCACAAATATATCACAGCTCTCTATGGAGAAAACAAGATTTTCAGTATACAAGACAATCCTTTGAACTAAAGCAATGCAGTTTGCTAAGCTTTCAAAATGATAGTGGCCAGCTACTGCACAAGTCAAAGCATTTTGGCATCTTTAATACTGGTTGTGCACCCTTCAATCTTCCCTAAAAGGGAAAGGATACCTATAAAGATAGAATGCTTATATCAGAGACAAGTAATTTTTGTGATACATCTGTAAAACTCCAACACATCATTGCCATTTCTCCATTCTGCATAAGAAAGCACTGAGATGAAGAAAATGCCAGTTTCTCAGCAACAGATCACTTTGGCGTAAAGATAATATGCTATAACTTGTGGTCAAGCAACCGATTGATCACATTTTCTGCTCATCCCAGTTACTGGACTGAACACTAATGGAAATTAATCCATCAGAGGGAAGGAAAAATGTGGATTGGAATGGCAAGGGATTTGTGCATGTCAATTGGGGAGGTCCTCTACCCCACTCACATTATGTAATAAATTCATGAAGGTCAAGGTCCTCAAGTAAAGGAGCAAATAGCATATCCATAACATTCTATAACTCTAGCCCATCAGAAAGTCCTTTACAGCTAATGAGATATTTTTGAATGCTGTGAAGTAGGAGATGCAGCAGTCAATTTAGACACAGCAAGCTCCCTCAAACAGCAAGGTAATGAGCAGATAACTACGTTTACTGTAGCGGTATTGGTCAAGGTGCATCAATGAGAAAACCGGGTAGAGGTCCCTGCTCATTTTTGAAATGGTGCTGGTCTCTCTCTCACACTCATCCAAGAGGGCAGATGGGACTTCAGATTGTGCGCTCAAATTCCTAGATGTTTTAATACGTTAGAAAGGCATTGAATAAATGCAGCATATTATAATAAACTGAAAAATAAAATCAAGACCAAGACCACGGACAAACTGGCAGTTAACAATATGAATTTTGTGTCTTCTGAAAAAGTGTGTGCAACAAAATCACTGTGTAAACCTATCGCATTCATTTGGAACAGTTTTTTTTTTAAGAAAAATAAGAGGCAATTCAACATTATCCGACTTTAAAATGCAATTTACACTTTAATAAACATTGTCTGTTGCCTTTTAATTACATATATATAAGTTACACAAGGAGGCGGCAACAGTACATTTTGTGCTTAAAGCAATGCAGCTTAGCTGCTGTAACAAATAAAGTACATTTTTTGTGCAAAGTCCCATGTGTATTGCACACTGCAACAATGCAGATTTCAGTTATTTTTTTTAAAAATCCATATACATATATTCAGGTCACCACTCATGGCACAGTTTTCAAACAGCACACAACAACCATGGCCATTGAGAGAGTCTGGCCAGAAGATAGGTCCAAACTGGGCTCGAAGAGGGAACAGCAAATTCATCATAGTGACAAACTGAGCCATTGATACATAATTAAGACTCCTGCCGACACGCATGCCGCCACTCACTATACACTTCACATTTTATATTGAAAAATAAAAAATTCTAACACGAGTACTTCAAAATTAGCCAAGTTGCGGCATAACGCCAAGGCACTCCTTCAAATCTGATGAAACCGTGATTGTTTTTATGGCATCAGGTGATCATTTCTTTCCCTACCTCTCCCAGTACAAGTCTTGGTCATCAGCTGAATTTGGCAGTGGAATCACTCAGTGCAGAACTAAGTCGGAATTGTTCCACACAATCACCGAGACATTCTCCACCAAGAAAAAGCCCTTCAGGTGCAGAGCAGGAAAGCCAAACCAATAATATGGAATGATTATAGCTCAGCAACAGTCCCTGAGGGGGCCCAGGCATCAAATCAGGAACACTCTGGGTCAATAATGGCACGTTTACGATAAAGTGCGCCAACTTCCTGCAGCCTCGAAACAAAAAAAAGCGCTGCTGGAGATTTTACAAATCTGAGTCCTAACAGGAACTTTCTTTGCCATCTTAAATAGTTGACGCATCAGTCCTATACAGTCAAATTCCCTTGGAAGCTTACAGTTCCTTGGAGGCTTACTGCAAACATTCAATGTGATCAACGTTTGATAAAGTTCTACAATTTGACACGATATTTAAAAATATAGATTATAGATAAGTGTTCACAACACATTCCATTAAAGAGTTTCAGGCAAAAACCCTGGTTGCCCAAAACAAAATCAATCAATCAATAAATCATTGAACAGATTTTGTCCTCGCTATGCAAAGATTAGTAGCTGCGTTCCGTGGTATTCCAAGTAGAGGGAGAAAAAGCTGCCAACAAGCAGATCAAAGAATCTTACTTAATTCTAACAGGCTACTTAATGTGTGGGTATCAATTTAGTCTGTAGGCAGAGGACGCAAACCTCTATGATATGTTCAACCCTTTGATACAGCGTGTAATTAGAAATACAGTAGTCTGAAACTATTGTGGCTGGTCAGTTGGAAAAAGCTGCTCTAAATGAACAGTTGTTATGTTTTACAGTACATTTATGATGGTGTGATCACAACAATTGAAGTGTTCAAGTTTAAGATGAGAATCAGCAGAACAGGTTCCAAGTCTTGGCTGCACACCACTCATTAGAAGGGAGTTTTGCGCATAAATGTCCAGAGCACTGTTCCTGGCCTCCTTAATCATAATTAAATATGTTCTGATTGCAGATGGGAACGTTTACATTTTTTCCAAGACATTAAAAAGGGCCTGAATGCATTAAGTTCACAGAACACACAAGGTTTTTCAAAAGTGCCCAGGCGTGCTTGTTCTCATGGAAATGTTTAAAAAATTATATTTACATATTGCCTTTCAACTTCGGGATGCACCCAAATACTTCACAACTCAATTACCTGTTTTTCAAAATGCAGCTTCTGTTGAATCATAGGAACAACAGCAACAAATTTGCACCCAAAAATATTGCAAGGAGATAATAACCAGTTTTTTTTTAAATGATTGAAGGATAAGTATTGGACAGAACATCAGGGAACACTACCCATTTCTTCCAGTGACATAGGATCTTCTGTGTCCACTTGAGACCAGGCAGGGATCTCACCTTCAACAGTGCAGCACTCCCTCAATGCTGCAGTGAAGTGTCAAATTATATATATTTGTTTCAAGTTATTGGATTTGACTTAAACCAAAATGTTGGTGACTGGAAATGATTACAGCTCAGCAGTCCCAGAGGGATAATGGGCATTGGATACTCCTGGTTTATGCTTGGGAACACTTGGGATCAAGGATGGCACGTTTATAATCACCAACTGAGCCATGCTGACACCTGATGACAGAAGCTTCAAGAACTCGGCATTCCTCAGACAAAGCAAGGAAACAGATGAAACCGGTCAAACAATGCAATAGGGAAGAATTTAATTAAATCAACATAAAAAAATTGCTGTTCCAGTGATTTCACTGTCAACAGCCTTGTTGGTTCATGAATATTCAATAAGATTGTATATATGCCAGAAACTAAAAGACAAAAAAATTCTAGAAATACCAAGGCTTGCCAGTACCCAGAGGAAAAATAAAAGCCAGTCTTGAACAGTAAATGGTTTTTTTTGTTTGGGGGGGGGGGGAAAGCGGTGGTGGTGGTGGTGGTGAAGCGTACGAGAGAAAAACAGAGGGTTGTCTCGTGGCAAACATTTAATTTCCATAGTCTAGTGTCAATAGATGTGAAACAAGAAAAGCACAGCAGGTCAGACAGCATTCGAGGAGCAGGAGACTCAACACTTCAGGCCGAAACCCTTTGTCAGGGCTGGGGAAGGGGAAGGGGAGAGGAGCCCAGACGTAAATAAATAGAGGGAAGGGGTGGGGCTGGGGGAAGGGTAGGTGGGATGGTGATAGGTGGATGCAGGTAGGGGGTTATTGGGATTAGTCACTGGGAAGGAAGGGTGAAGAGGATAGGCGAGTAGGAAGATGGACAGGTTAGGTTAGGTCAGGGAGGTGGAGGAGGGCTGGTCATGGGATTAAGGCTGGCAGTGGAGGGATTTTGAAGCTAAAGTCAATATTGAGGCAATTGGGCTATAAAGCTCCCAAGGTGAAATATCAGGTGTTGTTCCTCCAGTTTACATCTGGCCTCAATCTAACAGTGGAGGAGGCCAAGATAGTCATGTCACCAGGGAGTGGAAGGGGGAATTAAAGTGAATGGCAACTGCAAGGTCAGGTCGGTTGACACATGCAGAGTGCAGATGCCCTGCGAACCGGTCCTCGAGTCTGTGTTTGGACTCCCTGATATAGAGGAGACCACATCAGGAGCAACGGATACAAAAGATCAGGTTGGATGAAGTGCAGGTGAATCTCTGCCAGATCTGGAAGGATTGTTTGGGACCTTGGACGGAGGAGAGAGGGGAGGTGTAAGGGCAGGCATTGCACCTCTTGCGGTTGCAGGGAAAGGTACTGGGTGTGGTGGAAAAGTTGGTGGGGAAAAGTGTAGAGCTGATGAGGGAATTTGGATTGAACGGTACCTGTGGAAAGCGGACAGAGGTGGGGAAGAAAATCTTTTGGTCATGGGGTCCGATTGTAGGTGGCAGAAATGTTGGCGGATGATGCTTTGGATTTAGGAGGTTGGTGGCGTGGTACATGAGGACTAAGGGGACCCTATCCTTATTGTTGTTGTTGTGTTCTCTTGAATTAGAGAAGGGGAAACTACGATCCCTGAAGTAGGAGGATGTGTGGGATATCCTGGAGTGGAGGAGGGGAGAGGCACAAAGATGTAGTCAAGGTAGTTGTGGGAGTCAGTGGTGAGTTGGTTTCTGGAGATGGAGAGGTCCCGGAAGGGGAGGGAGCTGTCAGAAATGGTTCAGGTGTCCTTGAGGGCAGGTCGTAATGTGTTGGCAAAGTTTGAGGAACTGCTCGAGCTCCTCACAGGAGCACAAGGCAGCACCAATGCAGTCATCAATATAACAGAGAAAGAGGTGAGGGATGGTGCCGGTGCGGTGTAGTTGTGGAAGAGGGACTGTTCCATGAATCCTACAAAGAAGCAGGCATAGTTCAGGCACATGCGGGTATCCACGGCCACCCCTTTGGTTTGTGGAAAGTGGGATGAATCAAAGGAAAAATTGAGGGCGAGGACCAGTTCCGCCAAACAGATGAGTGTGTCAGTGGAGGGGGCTGGTTGGGCGTATAGGAGTGGAAGTGGAGGGCTTTTAGGCCCTCTGTGTGGGGAATACTGGTGTAAAATGGACTGTAGGTCCATGGTAAAGATGAGGTGTTGGGGGCCGGGGAATTGAAAGTTTTGGAAAAAGGTGAAGGGCATGGGTTGTGTCACGAATATAGGTAGAGAGTTCCTGGACCAAAAGGGGAAAGAATGGAATCAAGGTAGGAGGAAATGAGCTTGGAGAGAGACAGAGACATGACTGGGGCAGTCGGGTTTATGGATTTTGGTTAAGAGATGGAAATAGGCGGTGCAGGGTTGGGGAACTCAGGTTGGAGGCTGTGGATAGGAGATCTCCCAAAGTGATAAGGTTGTTGATAGTGTGACAGATAGTGGCTTGGTGATCAGTGGTGGGATCATGATAGAGTGGACGGTAGGAGGTGGTGTCAGAGAGTTGGTGTCTGGCCTCAGCAACGGAGAGGTCAGTTCGCCATACTACCACTGTGCCCCCACCCCTCTAATTGGCAGGTTTATAGTGAGTTTGGGGTTGGAGCAAAGTGAGCGGAAGGCTGTGCATTCCAATGGGGAGAGGTTGGAGTAAAGACGAGAGGGGTGGAAAGATCCAAGCAACTGATGTTGCAGCGGCAGTTTGAGATGAAGGAATTGAGGGAGGGTAGGAGGCCAGGAGGACGGAGTTTGCTGGAGGTGGGAGAAGGGGGCGTTGAAGAGTAGGTTGGATTCACAGTGAAAGAAATAGGCGCAGAGGCTGCAGAAAAAGCTTGAGATGATGTGCGCAGAATTTGCTTACGTGTGGGCACAGGGGAATGAAGGTGACCTTGACAGAAAACCTCAATCCAGTATGAACACGGGCAACACGAATGGCTGTGGCTGCTTGGTTGCCAAGTTTCATGCATAAATAGCAGTCAGATGGAAAGTAACAATGAACTCTTGCAACTGTAGAAGCAAGTGCCAGAGCAGTGGCAAAAAAAAACTGAAAGAGGCGATTTGATGGTGGCGGTGTCAGGGTTCGTATTTATGAGAATGCCATTTGTATGAACAGGCAAATGAGCATAAATCAATCTGCTTGCACCCCCTTTCAAATGGAGCACTGACTGGTAATAGGTTTACTAGAAGAGACAAACAGATAAAAGCAGCAGTTTTGTAAACATGAACACTACAGATTAATTTTTATAGACAATTTCCTCACTAGGTGGCACCAGCTTTTCACTAACAGATCTAGAATGAAAGTATTCTGTCTGCTGAATGCAAGGCCATGTCCTGAATAAAGTAATTTGCCAACTTCAATATAGGTTGTAGACTTGCTCACTGAGCCGGTGTGTTTGGCTGCAGACATTTCATCACCCTGCTAGGTAACATCGTCAGTTTCAAACAAACAGAGCCAAAGGGAGACATGCCAGGGAATTCCTGCAGGCCTGGCATTCCAACCGGAATGCCAAACACATTGAACCGGACCCGACATACAAACCACTGAAAAACAGAACCGGAAATAATGCCAACCACCTCAGCAAACCGAGGCATATAAATAACAACAGGGACAGAATACCAACACTTCACCAGAGGCGTACTGACGATGTTACCTAGCAGGGTGACGAAACGTCTGCAACCAAACACACTGGCTCGGCGAACAAGTCTACAACCTCATCCACAACCCAAGCTACGAATCTTCTCAAATAAAAAAAACTTTAAACTTCGATATAGTAGTTAAAATGGGCGTGGACCTGCAGCACACTCCCAGTTAGCATGCGAAATGAATAAAGAAATGCCACAATATTATGATTGGGAACAACTGGAACAGGACAGATTAGAGAAGGTTTTGCACTGTGCTGTTCTGAAGTTGCAAGGCTTTTATGTGGGGTGCCTGCAATGTCTTAATTTTTCAGCAATAATATCTGTCACTGCACTGATCAATCAAAATCAATTCCTAAAAAGGAGATTCTGGAAGGTGCTTGAAATAAAGGGGAAGAGCAAGACATTTACGCTGTAGCCAAATCACCAGCAGTAACACAGATCAGAAAATATGACAACCTGCATACAGATGACCTTGGAATGTACACATCACAGTGATTGATCACTTCTATATATACACATCTACATACAAACTTCATGTGCAATTGTTTCAATGACCATTAAGCGCATCAGGAACAGTTTGTGTTGAAGTTAATAAACTATAATTATGACAAAGGTAGTTGAATATTCATTATAAACTGTAAATATAGTGATCCGCCTGAGCAATAACATTCCTGGATGGCAAAATGGGTAAGAACATGTCTGATTAGATATTAAGGCACACCAAATGGTGCGTCCTGCTGCCTGGTTTAAACTGGGCTAGTCGATTATAAAATGGACAGTATCAATTGGGAATACAGGGGAATACCACCAAGGTAGGGTATTTAATCCTGGCTGCTGTCAATAAGTGTTAAAAAGTGTGAAAGCTCAATAGGTTGCACCCTTTTATAAAACCTAGATTTATGGAAATCTTTTACTCAAAATCACTAAACACAGGTTTACTTGGGTAAGTATTTAAACAGGCTTGCTCAAGCAGTCTGCCCTATGAGACAGCAAAAAAAAACACAGCGAAGCCAAAAAAAATAAACTGCACTATCATCATACAACTTTTCTCAGCAAATACCAGAGAACAAAATCAGTCTGCTTAAAGGAAACCAAGCAGCGGGGGAAATAAAAAAAGATATTTAAACGTACTAATTAATTCAGACTTCAGATCAGTTTCAATGTGCTGACCACTGAGTAATCATGATCAAAACAGGTATTCGAGGACATACTAAAACAAGGACTTCCGCCGAGAACATTTTTGGCTTGATTATATCCCGTGAAAGCACAGATTTGCTTGTGGATAATTCCACTTTTGATTTTTTTCCCCTGAATTAAAAGAAGCTAAATCAGAAGATATGTACATGTATGTACAGGCAGGGAATGTTCACAGTCTAAACCTTGAGTGGGAGTTGTACACAAGTGTGATGTACCCAGAACTTGAGCAGGAGCCTTGGCTAATTTTAAATATTCCTCCAGTATGACAATCCTCACTAAGAAGGGAGTTCTCTGTTGCTTTTGCATTATGTTAACCATCCTCGGGATTAGATCTAGGATTTCTCTGAACTCCTTAGCTCTGTAGCACAATCCTTGTCACATAATTAGGAAACACTTTCCTTTCACCTCTTCTTTCCCCTGCACAATGCTCCAACATAGTATTTAGTTTCCAAACTCCTGCTTCTTTACCCTTGTATCACACATGCTGGGTAGGAGCTTAGTTCCAGGTCTTTTACTTAGTAAGCAACCACCAGTCGGCACACAATAGTTGACTCCCAAAACTTTCATTTCAACCTTGAAAAGCAATTGCAAATCTACAATGTACTGCTCTGTGCTCAAGCTTTCAAGTTAAGCGTTTGGAATTATTGAACTCAGAATACGGATTGTCAGTAAAAAGTAAAACAGTAACGTTACGACAAAAAAAAAAAAAAGCACTCAGCATCCTCTTGATCCTTGCGCTTGAAGCTAAGCTGCCTGTTGAAATTCAAGATGCAGTGTGCGCACGCACCCTAATTTAGTGCTTTGGGCAGAATAAAAAAAAGTAACCCTGAGCTACTACTTTCAAACACTGAAACTGGCTTCTATTTTAGGACACATTGGCTCAGGAACCATTTGCATTCAAATGGTTTGCAATGAAGAAGGGTCTAGGTCCGAAACGTCAGCTTTCCTGCTCGGCCTGCTGTGTTCATCCAGCTCTACACCTTGTTATCTTATGTTCTACTGAACATTGTACTACTTTCTTCTGCCACCAGATGCCGCTGGCATGCAGGCCCTCAAGCAGTACTGCAACATGATGCTCATTATTTCACCTAAATCAATGGAGTTCACTGCTCATTAAAATGATACAAAAAAAAGGCACACAATGAAATGACTTTGAATACCAAATACCTTCTCCAGCATCCCAAAAGGTCAGCAGAATTTGAAGAACACATTTCCTCCATTTGTTACGAGGACAGTGTGTTAAAACCCTGGGCCTAAACAAGGATTTAAACGTCAAATGGGCCAGGGAATTTTAACCAGTCATATTAAATTTCAAGCCCTAATAAAATGTTTTAATGATTACATTGGAAGCACACACCTAGCTCAAATAGAAATCAATTCACATTAACTTCTAAGTTTAATACTTGACAATATTTTTAAAAATACTGCACATTAACATTCAAAATCTTTTGCTCTTCACATACTGATCATGAGAAGTGCTACTTAGAAATGTTTGAAGAATAGAAAAGAAGGTGCAAGATTGAAATACATTCAATCGCTGTAAGAAATGTTTGATGTCAGGGCAGAGGATGGTGGAAAGGGGCAATGCTAATTGACCAGTAGTACTACTAATTGTGAAAGTAAAACGTGTTTATCCAACTGACCAGGACACACCAGAGAAGAATGTGAATTAACAAACTAAGCTATTCATTTACCAGAACATAAATATATATTTTATACAAATACACACATACACATACCCAGAGGTCACAAAAGGTAACCTTCACAATTGGTTAGGTACAAAGAAAAAACAAACAAAATAAACTCAGGACAGCAGAGTCATTGTTGGCAATTTTACACGACCAGACATCTGACAACTTGCATCAGTTTTGGCCGTTGGAGTTTAGGCTGGTGGCTGGTTGCCTAGACTACTTTTAAGTTCTTCTCGCCTGTCTTTTACCTGCCCCACCCCTCAACAGTTAACCATATTGGTGGTGAAAAAAAAATACTTGGCTTTGAAGAGATTCTCCTTTGATCCAAACCCAAAGTCAGTTCTACAGTATCAGTGTTGGCAACTGTTTTCCCATGTTTTAGAGTTGGTGCAGCTGGATGATGGCACCTCAAACTATTTTGAGAGCTTGCTGATGACACGGATCAAGGCTGCATTCTCATCCTTTAGCCTCTGATTGTTTGTTTTTAAGTCCGTTAAAACCTGAAGGGACAGAGGAGAGAGATATTAATGTAGTACATGTCATGGGGGGTGCGGGGGGGAAGAGGGAAAGATTAATGGAATTTTAACTTTAGGTTAGTGTAGAATTGTAGAAGCAAACAGGTGATACTGTCTTGATAAGGACAGAGAGAAAAGGAGGGAATAGCATAGAATGAGCAAGTGAATAAATGGAGGGAAACAAAAGGCACTAATTGGCATTTCCAATTGCAGTGTGCAGAGAGACCAGCAAGTGGAAGGAATGAAGTAAGTTCTGTTTGAAGAATCAGATTCACCGGCAGCATAAAAATGGAATCAAAAGTAAACGTTCCAGCCTCTACGATGGGTCTATTCTACAGAAAAGAGAAAAAAAATACTTGCGAAAAATATACAAAAGAAATCTAAAAACTTAAGGCAACATTGAGGAAAACAGAAATATTTTAAACTGAGCACAAACATGTAAAGAGCACCCGAGGATTATATATTGATACAAGGTCTACTACTTAGCCAGCATACATTCCAATCAAATAACACACAGGCTTGCCTGCATTTTACCAGAACAAAAAAAAAACAAAACAGGAGAAGCAGGTCTGAGGATAGCTCTTGGTCTCCAATTCAGTTAGTAAAAACAAAAATCATTCTTGTGACACAGACCTTGGTAACAAGACTGGCATTTATTGCCCACCTCCAGTTCCCCTCAAACAGGTGCTGAAAACATTGCATAACTGCAGATTGACTAAGAAAAACTCATATTTCTGTTGATTCAATCTTCACGTTTTAAAGAGAAAAAAAGTTACATTTACCTTTAGCTGCTCCTCCAGTTCAGCTGTCCTTCTTTCAAATGCCCTTCGTTCCTGTTTCATAAAGAAATGACTGACAATAAATGTTTATAATTTGGTATCTTTTCACCCCTCACTATAAAATAATAGCAGCCAAATAAGAAAGATGGCCATAATTCAAGACTTCCACTTCTGATTCTGATCTTTGGTAGAATAATCACACAAGTACCTGGCAGTGCAGGAAGCCATTTGGATCAATCATGTTTATGCTGGCTCTTTGAAGAGGTTATCCAATTTGTCTCCCTCTCCCTTGCATTTTTCCTATTATTCTGCAATTTCAAGTATTCATCCAATTGTCCTTTGAAAGTTGCTACTGAATCAGCTTTTCTCCCCTACCTCTTCCACTAACAGGATAACTACTAGACCGCAGCACCTTGCAAAGTGCTACCTGGGAAGTAGATAGTCCTGGGTAGAAGGTGGCCACCTACTGTAGGGGAAGCCACAAGAAATTATTCTCATCAAATGTCAGGCAGCAAAACTGCTACTCTCCTTGCAAACATTTATGCAACAGTTATCATCTAAATTATTGCTTTCCCATTAACCTTCAGCTTTAGAGATACCTTGTTTCACACATTCATCTGTTTTTACATCTTTTAAATTGTACGATCAGGGACTGTGTTGCATAGGTCTGGCAGTTTTGTTGGAAACAGGTTAAAACGAGTTGCTGCACAGGAATTTACAAAGTATAATCGGAAGACTTACAAATCTTTCCAACTCCAATTGTGCCGGTCTATTTTCATGCATTCCTTGTCTCTAAAATGGACACACAGTAAACAAGATGAAATGATGAGCCACGAAACAAGTCAGAGAAATGTTTTTCTTTCTATGTAGCACCTCATCACACCTTCAGGTGCTCCAATGTATAATGAATCTCTTTATGGAGTTGCTAATCTAATAGATTTTCCCTCAAGGTCCAAGCATACGGACATACTAATTAGGAGCAGGCAGAGACCATAAGGCCCATCCTGTTGGCTTTACCATACAATAAGATTGTGGCTGATCAGACTAAGCTCAACTTCACATTCCCATTGGTCTCCGGTAACAACTGACTCCTTGTTAGGTCAGAATCAATCTACTTTTGCCTTAACATTTACAACATTCTATAATAGACCCCAGTGAACCCATCTGCGATGTTGCTCTGTTTCTAAAAAAAAAAAGCAACAGGATCTTTAACATGCTCTTGAACCACCAGAAAAGGTAGAGGTAGAGTTAACTGGAGCTTAAAACGCTGCCCCAGGATGGCAGCCCTCAACAGTGCAGAATTCTGTCAGTACCACACTGAAGATCAGCTTTGGATTCATGACCCAGTCCGAGAGTGGTTTGAACCAGAAACCTTCTGGTTCCAAGGTGAGGATACTTGTACCAAGAAAGTTCTCAGAACAGAGTCATAATTAACAATCTTGTATATTGTATCACCTATTAAAAGCTATGGAGCGGGTAAATTCTTGCTCTGGCACTCTGAATGTTACACATGATAATTAAATATCCAATAGTCATCGATTAGGACTATGATGAGGGATGATCTTTTAGATAAAAGGCAGATTGCCTCCAAAAAGGAGCATGGACTGAGGAAGACAATGACAGAATCCCTACAGCGTGGTAGCAGGTCATTCAGTCCATTGAGTCCACAATGACCTTCTAAAGAGCATCCCACCCAGACCCCCACCCTATCCAATCCCTGTAACCCTACATTTACCATGGCTAATCTACCTAGACTGCACATAGAATCCCTACACTGTCCCTGGACATTATGGGTAAAAAGTAAAATGTCTCCAGAATGAGCACTTATCACCATTTGATGAGCGTGTGTTCCATTTTTAGTAGTGTCCACTGAATGTCAACATGGTCTTGATCAACCTACAAAAGGCGACTAATTGTGAGCACGAAAAAATGAAAAAGTTGTGATGACAACAGGGCCACAAAACCACAAACTGGGGTACGTAACTGACACTTTCACGTGAGGTTTGTGCGACCTTAATCTCTTACCTGCAACACCCTCTCCAATTCCTGATTGGCTTGTGTGAGGTAAGATTGTGCTTCTCGTAACTCGCTCTTCAGTCTCACATTCTCTGACAAGACCACTTCATACATCTGCATGGGAAACAGGAGAATCGTTTACTTTGTTGTGCAGTGAAGTAAGAAATATTTTTCACACAGATTTAACACAAAGACCTGCATTTATACAAATCTATCACACCAGTGAACTCTCACAAAAGTTCTTTACAGAATGAGCTGCTTTTTAAGCTCTGTTACACAAGCGATTGTAATGGTAACACAAACAGTAATATGTCAAATAATCACTTGTGTTTAAAGACACTGCCAAGAAAAGAATATGCGTCAAGAGGATTCCTTGCTGATCTTTACAGATCCTATGATAATATAGGAAGTCTGCTAGAGTTCATAGTGTGTTTTTGGGATGATTTCTTAGAGCAGTATTCTCCAATTAGTCAGAGAACAGGCTACTGTAGACCTGGTAACGTGCAATGAAACAGGGTTAGTTGATGACCTCGTCATAAAGGAGACTCTAGGCAAAAGTGATCATAACAGGATAGAACTTGACATGCAGTTTGAGGGTGGGAGTGTGGGTCAAAGAGTAGCGTCTTACACTTAATAAAGGCAAATACAGCGTATGAAGGCAGAGTTGGCTGAAGTGAATTAGGAAGTAGTTTAAGGTTTAAAGTGATAGTTCAAAACTTTCAGCAGAGATATACTTCATTAAGCAAAATGAAATACGATATATTTCATTAAGCGATTCTAATCGGAGGATGCACCATCCATGGATAACAAAGGAAACAGGACTGCATAGGCTTTAACACTATTACAACAGTTACTTTGGAGGTACTGTTTCCAGAATTTAAAACAGAGAAAGTTGTTGTGTGGCAAAGTGACTGTATTTCAATGTCTTTGTAAAATATTAAAAAACGGCAAAAAAGTTCATTCAAGGACTGTTCCATTAGCTGTTGACGTCTAGCATTTTGTCACAAGTTCATCAACTGTATAAGCACATTGTACAACCTTGGGCTGAATTACTTAAGACATTGCATCACCATTTCAAGCATGCAATGATCCATTTGTTAGCCATTTTATTACCTTCCTGAAGTCATTATTCCCGTCCTCCATTAACCTCGCACTGGAGTGGGAGGGTGTCCCAATTCTGCCCGGAATCCGATCACTCAGACTTGGGCCATACCTGTCACCAATCAGAAAGAGATTTGTTTGCTGTCAGCGCTGTTATGGTGAATGGATAAAGGAAACCTACAATTGACAGCCAAATAAAATATAGACAACTCAAGAAGACCCTAACAAACTTCTGTAAAACCCAGGTGGACTTGCAACTACATCAAAGTCCTGGCCTTCCAATTGCCTGGGCTGAAATTTTCCCATTATTGAGCAAGGAGCTACTACTTGATTTAAGGAGTCAACATTTCTCGTCACAGTTGTTTGACGTGCTCAAAGACATTATGGAAATCTCTTTCTCACAAATATATCAGCTGCAGAATGTTGGCTTTAGGCCAGTCATAAATATATTGCAATGCCAAACTCTGGAAAGGGAAGGGTTTAAATGATTTCCTGACTTGGGGATTGCACACACTTTCCAATTCTTGGAAGTCATATTTCTCCACTCCCTTTTCCCATTCCAGGACACAGCTGGAAAAGCATCGAGTGCCCTGCAGTCCCTTACCAAAGGAGCCTGTATTAATGAGTGGGCAGTGATACCTGGAAGGCTAGTCACCTACAGAGATCATTACCACTCACCTAATGTCCACATACTGCTTTTCTAGGAGGCAGTGATGACTATGACCTAGAACCAAACTTGAAATTTCTCTCTTGAATAGACACATGAACTGCTCTTAACTCTGTGACCAAAGCAGGATAAGACATTCCAGCACTGACCCAAGTTCAAGCTTGAACTCTGCTGATCTGTAAGAATCTGCTACTCAATGAATTAACTCACTGAGCCAACGTTGGTACATGTTTTTAAAATCAGTAAACCACGATCTCCCCAGACTGAAATTCTAGAAACACCAGTTCAATTATCTGAATTTTCAGGTTCTCACAGCTCAGACTCACCATTCATAGTACAGCAACACATCGAGAAAATAATTAATGTCATGCCTTTGACGGTCATGTTAATGGTTCTGCTTCTACTGTATACAGTACTAGTTCTAAATTAGAACTTTCAGGAGAAGGAGTGATAGCTTTTAGTAGCCATTTAGAGCTTATTGTTGTTACTGATGCAGGATCTGGCCACATTAACAGTTTTGCAAAGTATGAGAATTTCACAGTCATAGCACCATTACTGTCTCAAGATCTTACCACCTTAAAACCCTGAATTGCTACCCCCTCCTGGGATCACTACACCCCTTTAGGAAGCCCTGCACCACATAGTTCCAGCACTTTTTAAAAAAATATAAATCTCTAATATGTTATTTTAATGCTTGCTAATTGATTTAAAGACTTTGTAGTATTCTGGAATAGAAATTGATCCTAAAACTTGTTTAGACTGCACTTGCATCACAGCGACGAAAATAGAACGAGCTGCAACTTTAGTCTTCACGGTCAACACTGCAAAACCTCAGAACAATTGATAACTTCAGTGTCTACAGCAATTTTTAAAAAAGGGCATTCTTTTTAAGTGACAATATAGTTTTGGGATGGATGTCAGTGATTGGGAAGCCATGGGGTCAACAAGCATTTGAGAATGGACAGAAGAAATATGAAATAGTCCCAAAGGGCAGAGTCAATTCAGATGAAGGTACATCACCAGATTCCTGAGGTACAAGTTTGTTCAATTGCTATAAAGTGCTTGACATCAAACAGAACAGAGGAGCTACAAGAAATGCAAGATTTTCGTTCCATCAGGCTCCGAGAACCATTAAAGTCTGCTCCCGCAACGAGCGGTGGATAAAATGTTCTTGCCTATGCGTTAACGTGTCCACACTGTTCATCTGTTCTGTGCTGTCTCCCTGAAAACAGAGCAACATCAAAACACCACATTAAAACAGCAAGGCCAACAGCCTGTCATTTTAGTATTGCACAGGTATGCACTTGTATTTGGTGAGAAACAGTATGGGGCATTTGATTTACCCAGTACAGGCATAACTTTTATTCTTTGTATAGCTTTTATAAATGAACAGACAGAAAAAATATGCAGCTGCAGCTGCAACTTACACTGTCTCAAATTTAGGCAGAGGTAGGTAACATGAACAAGGCTTAAAGAACAAGGTGTATAGTAGGGCTCCCCAGTGGTCAGTAGTAAGACCACTGCTTTGGCTTTCATCCAGAAAATGAGAGACATGGGTGCACAAGACAATTTCAAAATTTGCAGATGACAAAAATCAGAAGTCCTGTGAACTGTGATCAATGTGGTGATAGATTCCTAAAGGCAAAAGGTTGATGGAATGGACAATACAAGGCAGGTGGAATTTAACGTAAAAAAGTGTGGAGTACATTTTTCTTAGAATGATGAAAGGCAAAATGAAATAAAAAAAGGCAGGGTGCAAAGATGGAGGTACCTTAAGGGTTTGTGCACACAAAATGTCGAAAAATCATTGGTGGTGGCCCAGGCAAGTTGAGCAAGTGGTTAATAAAGCAGAGAATACTGTACGTTATAAACAGGGACATACAGTACTAAAGCAAGGAAACTTTGGTGAACCTTTATAAAAGGACTGTGATCTCAACTAGACTTATGTATTATTCAGTGTGCTGTATTTTTACGAAGAAGGTGAAAACATTTCAGAGGGTGCAGTAAAGATTTGAGAGAATGATTACAGGGACAAGAGGCTTCCACTACACGGATTGATAAAGCTAGAACCTTCTTCCTTGAAGAGACAACCCAGAAAATTGATAAGAAATGTTAAAGATCATGAGGGACCTGAACAGAGTAGGTTATTGTGCTCATTGTGGGAGGATCGATATCCAGGAGATGCAGATTAAGATGATTTGCAAAACAAAGTAAGTGAGACAAAGAGAAAATTATTTTTAAAAATAACAATGAAAGTGGATCTAGCTGAGTGTGGAAGAGATAAATTAGATTGTTGTTTTCAATGAGGAATTCAATAATTATCTGAAGATAAAAGGCTTACAAGCCTACAGGGAAGAGGAAGGGAAACAGGATAAGCTGAGTTGCTCTTCTCAGTAGCTGGCACAGATAAAGGGAGGCAAATGGACTCCTGAGCTATAACCAACCATTCTACAATACAATGAATAGTAGTTTAAAAATTAGCCACTATAAATTCTCTCAATCATTTGCTCCCAAACAAAAACATGTTAAGAAAAACAAAACCTCACAGCAAGAGAGGTAGTAATTTAATATTACCACCAGCTTCCGAGCCATTCAATACTGAGCTGGTTTCAGGTAATCAGAAGATGCCAAGGTTTTGAACATGTAATTCACTTCAGATTCTTTCCTTACAAGCAGAGTAATTTTCACAAGTTAGTCTATGATGGTGCTATAGCAGAATGGTCACAGGTTGCAACTCACACGGTAAAGTGAAACGACTGACAAGTTGCAGTACAACGCAACTTTACGATGGGAACTCAATTGTTAGGTTCTAGGAACAGATAACTGCAAAGCTCGTGCTCAGCCAATGAAGTTTTAACCGCTCATGCGGACAACTACATGGATGTTAGGCAATCCACCATCGATAAGTTTCTCTCTGCGTGAGAAAGAGAAAACACTACCACAAAATTATCAAAGGGAAGACGACTAAATGGAATATTCGATTCACTCCAAATACCTGGTACACAAAGGATACCAAATCAAAACAAACAAAAAAAACCAAACAAACACGATTTAGATAGGATTTGGTCTGTTCAGCACGTATAGCTTGAACTTAAAGTTCCAGTTTACAATTAGGTCAAATTAGCAATATACAAGAAATAGGATTAACTGGTTTATATGACTCATGTGGAAATGGAAAGGGACAGAGAATTTTAGAAAAAGAAAAGGAAAATAAAACAAAAAAAACTTTGAAAGATGCTTGCAGTCACACACAAACTAACAGAACCTCTCATGCAAGTGTACCTCAATGAAGAGCACGCTTAGAGTTAGCCATCTCTCCAATTACAATTAATTGAACCATCAGTACAGGACTTACCTCTTCTGAGAATTCTGGTTTGCCAGTAAACCTATGTTCTTTTCTAGCTTTCCGTCGATCTCGTACAGATAACCGATTCTGATTGCTATAATCCGAGTCTCCTTCCTCCTTTTTGCAGTCTTCCGAATCTAGAGATTAAGAGAACAGCTCCAGCTACTGTATGCTCTGAAACTCTAAACACATTACTGCTTGGAGGAGATACTTCTGGCTAACCTTATGTACAGTTGCTCACAGGTATAGATAGGTATGAAAAAAATGCACGGGAGGTCAACCCCTAACTTGAGCTGCAAAGAATTGGTTGAAGTTGTCTGGGAGGTCAACTAGAGCTATCAGTAGCTGTCATTCTAGAAAGGTTTCCAAGATTCTTTTCTACCCAACAATTCCTGCAGCTTCTCAAGAATGGAAAAAAATACTACTTTACATTTAAAAAAAAACATGCACAGCAAGTCCTCACTTAAGTCATTGTTGTGTTCCTGAAAAATCACAACTTTAAGTGAAATAACTTGAAGTGAGTCCTAGAATCCCATAGGAATCAATGTTAAAGTCAAAAGCAAGTTCCTATGGCTATACAAGTAATTTACAAGTTAAGCTACTGTGCCATGTGTGTACGGGACTTTGCACTCCGAGCTGAAATAGTGTACAAAATAAAACATTAAACGTAAAATCAATATTGGACAATGCAGTAGACCTCTGGTAAAAAAAAAAATTTCTTAAAATCCATGTGTTTTTAGATTGACAAGACACCATCTAGTCACATAAGTAGACAGTCCAGGAAGCGATAGAGTCCCTGAAATGACTGATGTCAGCCATAAGGTGGAGCCCTTCAGGACAAGCTGAGAACAGCAGCCAGAAGAATGGAGCTGCTTCAAGGAGGAAGCAAGTGGACCCAGGTGAGAACAGAGTGGGAAGTAAGAGGCAACCAAAGAAGCAACCCCACAAGGGAAGAAAAGACAAAAGGGCAGGAAATAAGTACATGGGGAGGTAGCACCGGGAGGCAAGGCCAAGGGATGCCAATAACATTACAAAAAAAATAAAGAATCAACATAATGGGAGGAAAAAGGCCTTAAAAATAAAACGTTAAAACAAAATGAAGTTGGCTTACTGCACCCCTTCAGTATATGCACTCTTACACAAAGTGGAAACCTACTGAAAGGACCTGCATAAATTTATTCCTGGGCTGAGTGACAGATATCTATACCACAGTAAAATTTAACTACCAAACCCTAATCATTGGACTTTTATCCAGGAGGACAAGAGGCGGACAGAACAATAAAAGTTTCATTCTGAAGAGTTTCAAATTTATTGAAGGCTACTGGGAAGGAGTTTGGTTTCTTGTTGTTAATGTCTAGACTGTAGCAGAATCTGTAAACTAGACTATCATTTCAGCAATGTGCCCTAGATACAACATGCAATGAGAAATGCTAACAAGAATTACATTCTTTTCTACAAATCAGCATCTCCATTTGAAGGTCACAACAAAAGGAAGCCAGGGAAAGGTTTGCAAGCAAATAAAAAAAAATTATTGTTTAGGACAAATGACCAGAGATAATGCTGGGTATTTCAAAACAAAGGTACATTTGATTAAACTCATTACAAAATTCGTACATTCCCCCAAAAATACCTCCAATGATCTAATGTATTGAGTTCTTTATTCAGGCCATAGGATAGCAGTCTTGTGACACTGTGGGCTTTCCCCATGTCAGCAAAACCTGACGGATTACTGTTATCACAATAACCTGACTGGCATTCTACTAAATCATCTTGGGAATCTCTGCAGTGCTGGCAGCATCATAAAACTCAAAATTACAGGCTGCCGCAAAACTCTAAACAAAGCCAGGATACTCTTCTAGTTCAAGGTGCGGTTCTTCAGGTCATAAAGGCCCAATTCTGAAAGTGTAAAATCAGCAACAAAAAGCTTGAATGTTTCATAAACAATAGTAAAGTCACCACTGCCTTATTGGACCACAGGGCTGCTCTCTCATCGGAGAGAAATGACTCGTGATGGTTTAACCTGAGGGTCATCACAACTTGGGCAAGGAGGGGCTGAGAAGGAGTGCCTTTTGTGGTAACTTCAGCCCAGTGTGGGAACTGAGCCCATGTTGACAGCTCTGCGTTGCAAACCAACTGTCCAGCCAACTGGCCTAACTGATACCACAATATGGTGAAATGTTAGAAAACATTTTATAGCAAGTACTCTCAAAGAAATTTAACTCTAAAAAGAATACTGGGACAGGTGACCGAAGTTTTATGGAGTCAATTAGAGCAGTACAGAAGCGAAAAGGTTTAGGAATGAAATTCCCAGCATTTAGACCCTCAGTAACGTGGAGTCAATGAAATCAGGGATATACAAGGGGCTGGAATTGGATGAGTGCTGAGATCTTGGAGGGTTGCTGGCTGGAGGTCAGGGAGGGATATGAACTAAAAAATGAGAATTTAAAAATTCAAAAGAAATGTAAGTAAGACCGAACATTTCATTATTTTGCTCATTCTTCCGCAGGAAAGGATCTGATGGGAAAATAGGAAAGTACCAGTTACTGGTTTAAAGAAATCTGCAAGTGGCTTTTTGAGCAGCAACCTTTCCTATTCAATACTTCTCTCTCACCCATCTTATTATCTACAGATTACTTTAGTCAAATTTTATTTGATGATATTCTCATGAAACACTGGAGACATTTTTCTTCACATTAAACCTCCACCTCCTCTAATCCAAGAATAAAAAGGGTAAGTAAGTTATTCTCTAATTTTTAGAAATCTTTTGGGAAAGTTTAAATTTACAGGGGATGGCAGTCAGGGCAGTGCAATGTTCCTCCTGCAGGACGTGGGAGGTAAGAGTCAACAGCAGTGACTCTGCTGACTTCGCCTGTGGGAAGTGCACACAGCTCCCCAAAGACCGTGTTAGGGAACTGGAGCTGGATAAACACAGGATCATTTGGGAGGCTGAGGTGGTGATAGAAACGAGATACAGGGACATAATTACCCCTAAGAACGAAGGCAGTTGGGTGATGGTACGGAAAGGGAAGGGAAGAAAACAGTCAGTGCAGAAATCCCCCCTGTGGTCGTTCCCCTCAAAAATAAGTATACTGTTTTGGATACTGTTGGCGGGGGGAAGGGGGAACCTACCAGGGTAAGCCACAGGGACAGGGTCTCTGGTACTGGGTCTGGCTCTGTGGCTCAGAAGTGAAGGGGGGAGAATAGGACAGCAATTGTGTAGTTAGAGGCACAGACAGGCGGTTCTGTGAACGCGAACAAGATGAACAGATGGTATGTTGCCTCCCGGACCCTGCCACCCGTGACATCTCGGATCGTGTCTTCAAGATCCTTAAGGGGGCGGGTGATCAACCAGCAGTCATGGTACACATCGGTACCGATGACATCGGTAGAAAAAGGACTGAGAATGTGAAAAACGAGTACAGGGAGTTAGGTTGGAAGCTGAAGTCCAGGACAAACAGGGTAGTTATCTCTGGATTACTACCAGTGCCACGTGATAACGAGCTAAGAAATAGGGAGAGAGTGCAGCTAAACACGTGGCTACAGGACTGGTGTAGGAGGGAGGGCTTCCATTATGTGGATAATTGGAGCACATTCTGGGGAAGGCGGGACCTGTACAGTAAGGACGGGTTGCACCTGAACTGGAAGGGCACAAAATATCCTGGGAGGGAGGTTTGCTCATGCTATACGTGATGGTTTAAACTAGATTGTCAGGGGGTGGGGAACTGGATTTGTAATTCAGAGGATGAGGTATTCAGTCTTCCAACAGCCAACAGGGAGTGAGGTTATTAATAAAGAAATGCGGTCGATGCCACGTAATTGTGGACACTGGGATGGTTTGAAGTGTGTATACTTCAATGCGAGACGTATCAGAAATAAAGTGGATGAACTTACAGCATGGGTCGGTACTTGGAATTATGATGTTGTGGCCATTACAGAAACTTGGGTAACTCAGGGACAGGAATGGTTGTTGGAAGTTCCGGGATTTAGATGCTTTAAAAATAAATAGGGAGGATGGTAAAAGAGGTAGGGGAGTGGCATTGCTAGTCAGGGCTATTATAGCAGCTACGAGAAGGCAGTTCGAGAATGATATGTCTACAGAGTCAGTTTGGGTTGAGGTCAGGAATAAGAAAGGAGCAGTCACTTTATTGTGGGTTTTTGTTTTTTTTTAAAAACAGACCCCCTAATAGTTGCAGAGAAGTGGAGGAGCGGATTGGGAGGCAGATACTGGAAAGGTGCATAAGTTGCAGGGTTGTAGTCATGGGTGACTTCAACTTTCCAAATATTGATTGGAAACTTTTTAGTTGTAATAGTTTAGGTGGAGCAGATTTTGTCCAGTGTGTTCAGGAAGGATTCCTGACACAGTATGTAGATAGACCAACACGAGGAGAAGCCACTTCAGATTTGGTGCTTGGCAATGAACCGGGCCAAGTGTCAGAACTGTTGGTAGGAGAGCATTTTGGCGGTAGCAATCATAACTCTGTTACTTTTACAATTGTCATGGAAAAGGATAGGTACATATAGCAGGGTAAGGTTTACAATTGGGGGAAGAGGAATTATAATTCTGTTAGGCAAGAACTGGGTAACATAAAATGGGAACAGATGTTGTCAGGGAAGAGCACTATAGAAATGTGGAGATTGTTTACAGAATGCATACTGCGTGTGCTCGATATGTTTGTCCCTAGCAGGCAGGGAAGATGCGGTTGAGTGAGGGAGCCTTGGTTCTCAGGTAGAGGTCGAACGACTGGTTCCTTTTAAAGGAAGAAGGATGCTTATATAAAGGCTCAGGAAACAAGGATCGGAAAAGGCTCTACAGGGATACAAGTTAGCCAGGAAGGAGCTGAAGAAATGGCTGAGGAGAGTTACAAGGGGGCATGAGAAAACCTTGGCAGACAGGATCAAGGAAAACCCCAAAGTTTTTTACACATACGTGAGGAATAAGAGAATGACCAGAGAAAGGGGAGGGCCGATCAAGGATTGTAAAGGGAATTTGTGTACAGAGCCTAAGAGATAGGAGAGGTCCTTAATGAATACTTTTCTTCGGTACTCACAACTGAGAGGGACTTAGTTGTAGTGGAGGACAGTGTGAAACAGACTGGTAGGCTAGGAGGAGGTGGATGTTAGTAAGGAAGAAGATGTACTAGGAATTTTGAGGAACTTGAAGATAGAAAAGTCCCCTGGGCCTGATGGGATTTATCCAAGGATTCTATGGGAAGCAAGGGAAGAGATCGCAGGGCCTTTGGTGATGATCTTTTCATCCTCACTGTCCACGGGTATAGTGCCGGAAGATTGGAGAGTGGCAAACATCATTCCCTTGTTCAACAAAGGGAATAAGTATAACCCTGGAAATTACAGGCCAGTTAGTTAGTCTTACTTCAAATTATTGGAAAGGGCTCAGAGATAGGATTTATGGTCACTTGCATAGGCACAGTTTGATTTGTGATAGTCAGCATGGATTTGTGAGGGGTAGATCATGCCTCACAAACCTTACTGAATTCTTTGAAGAGGTGACCAATCACGTGGATGAAGGTAGAGCAGTGGATGTGGTATACACGGGTTTAAGTAAGATGTACGATAAGGCTCCCCATGGTAGGCTCATGCAGAAAGTAAGGAGGCATGGGATAGGGGGAAATGTGGCAGATTGGATTCAGAATTGGCTGACCTTTAGAAAACAAAAAGGTGGTAGCGGATGGAAAATATTCAACATGGTGCTCAGTTACGAGTGGTGTACCACAGGATCTGTTCTGGGTCCTCTTCTGTTTGTGATTTTTGTAAATGATTTGGATGTAGGAGTGGAAGGGTGGATTAGTAAGTTCGTGGATGATATGAAGGTGGTGGAGTTGTGGATACTGCAGAAGGCTGTTCTAGGTTACAAAGGGACATTGATAGGATGCAGAGCTGGGCTGAGAAGTGGCAGATGGAGTTTAACCCTGAAAAGTGTGAGGTGATTCATTTTGGAAGGACAAACTTGAAAGCAAAATACAGGGTTAACAGAAAGATTCTTGGCAGTGTGGAGGAGCAGAGGGATCTCGGGGTTCATGTCCACAGTTCCCTGAAAGCTAACACCCAGATGGATAGAGTTGTTAAGAAGGCATATGGTGTGTTAGCTTTCATTAATAGGAGGGACTGAGTTCAAGAGCCGTGAAGTTATGCTCCAGCTATACAAAACCCTGGTTCGGCCACATCTGGAGTATTGTGTCCAGTTCTGGTTGCCTCGTTACAGGAAAGATGTGGAAGCGTTGGAAAAGGTGCAGAGGAGATTTACCAGGATGTTGCCTGGAATCGAGGGAAGGTCTTACGAGGAAAGGTTGAGAGAGCTAGGGCTTTTCTCTTTAGAACGACGAAGGATGAGATGTGACATGATAGAGATGTACAAAACGATCAGAGGTATAGATAGAGTGGATAGCCAGAGACTTTTTCCTCGGGTGAAGGTAGCTATTATGAGGGGGCATAGTTTTAAAGTGAGTGGAGGCAGATACAGGGGAGACGTCAGAGGTAGGTTCTTTACTTAGAGAGTGGTAGGGGCATGGAATGGATTGCCGGAGAGGGTAGTGGAGTCAGCCTCATTAGGGGCATTTAAGCGGCTATTAGATAGGCATATGGATGATAGTAGAAAGGTAGGGGTGGAGGTTAGATAGACTTTAGGTTTAGGGTAAAAATTTGGCACAACATAGTGGGCAGAAGGGCCTGTACTGTGCTATGGAATTCTATGTTCTGTGTTCTATCTCTACAGGAGTTGTAGAGGGTAGTGTCCTTAGCCCAACCATCTTCAGCTGCTTCACCAATAACCTTCCCTCTGTTATATGGTCAGAAGTGGGGACGTGCAGCATCATTCGAGACTCCTCCAGTACTGAAGCAATCCACGTTCAAATGCAACAAGATCTGGACAATAACCAGGCTTGGGATGACAAGTAGCAAGTAACATTCGTGCCACACAAATGTTAGACTACGACCTGATGGACGACATTCAATTGTGTCACCATCACTGATTCTCCCACTATGAACATCCTAGGCGTTACTATTGACCAGAAACTCAACTGGATTCACCACAAATCCAGTGGCTACAACCCGCAGGTCAGAGGCTAGGAATACACTCCAGTAAGCAACTCATCTCCTGACTCGCCAGCGCCTGTCCAACTACAAGGCACAAGTCAGGAGTGTGATGGAATATTCCCCACTTGCCTGAACGAGCGCAGCTCCAACAACACTCCAGAAGCTTGACACTATTCCAGGACAAAGCAGCCCACTTGATTGGCACTACGTCCACAGCATCCACTCCCTCCACTACTGACACTCAGTACACCTGCTACTATCTACAAGATGCACCAAACATCCTCAGACAGCACCTTCCAAACCCACAACCACTTCTGTCTAGAAGGACAAGGGCAGCAGATGCATGTGAACATTACCACCTGCAAATTCCCCTCCAAGACACTCACCATCCTGACTGGGAAATATATCACTGTTCCTTCACTGTTGTTGGGTCAAAGTCCTGGAATTCTCTCCCGAACAGCATTGTGGGTCAACCCACATTAGATGGATTCCAGCAGTTCAAGAAGGCAGCTCACCACTATCTTCTCAAGGGCAATTAGGAACAAGCAATAAATGCCGGCCAGCCAGTGACACTCAACCCAAAAACAAATTATTTTTTTTTTTTTTAAAAAAAATAAAAAGCTAATGCTTAACTGCCCTCCAGGCAACAAATGCTGGCCCGGCCAGCAACATCCACATCTTGCTGATTGAATAAAAGAAGGTAGCTTTCAAGTAGCACAGGAACAGAGGAGTGAAGAAGTTGAGATAAAAGTCATGAATTTAGATCCTCAAATATGGAATGAATGAAAAAGAGGTATACGCAAGAGGCTATAATTGGAGGAGCGCCAAGATCTTGGAGGGTAACTGGCTGGGGGTCACAGAGATACGGAGGTGCAAAGCTATGGAGGAAGTTGATGCCCAAAATTAGATTTTAAAATTGGAAAGGAAATATCCACAAACGTGTTCAACATCACTGGCATCAGTACATAGGCTGGAGAGGTTTACATTTTTGTCTTATGATGATGCCCTCCAATGGCAGCTACATCAGGTTAAGCACTCCGGAAGAGCAGTGAAGAGGTTTTCCCTGAAAAACACTGCCCTACACCTCTCCTCCTTCCACTGGTTATACAATACCATTCAAGACAGGTATGTCTGATCCAGATTTCTGATTGCTCAATGAGTTGGTATTTGACATCATTTTGCTTGAAAAATCAAATTGAGAATGCTTTCAAGTGTGATGTCTAACATATTACACATTTATAAACATTTGCTCTGGAGTACCCCAATTAACTAGTCAATCATGGATTAAATGATTGAGTGGCAAGTTCCCAGCACTTAGGTCTGGGAACCAATCATGGGTTTCAGTCGCAGAGCTGTAGGAATTAGTAATAGGCTCAAGAGGTTGAATGGCCTATTTAACAAACATATGCTCTCAAACATACACCATATGTTACACCTTCTGTATTTCTGGAAATAAAAAAATATATTTGCTATCAAGGACTCTTGAGGTGCTTAATGTTGTATTCGAGGGTCTCTGGTTCTTATGCAAGGAATCCTCCTTAACAAGAGGCTTGTCTCAATTAGCTCCAATGTTATTTATTCATATATACTGTTTAATTGGAAGAAAAAAAAAGTATCATTGGGATTATCTCCATGAAGTCTGCATGCAAACACTGCGCTCATCTGTGGTTCTTGTTGGTAGCACACTTGGATATGTCAGATGTTTGTGTGTTCAAGCCCCACTACAGACTTTTGGACATTTTCTAACCAACCTGTTCAGGCATGTTATTACCCACCTCTGGAGTAGGTGGGACTTGAACCTGGGCCTCCAGGGTCAGAGGTAGGGACAGCACCACTGTTCCACAAGAATCCTCCAATACAGACATTTAGGCTGAGACTCCAGTCTGATACTGAGAGAATTCTGACATGGCTGAAGGGGATACTAAACTTGTGAAGACCTGTCTGGCCTGGAGTTTTTAAACATTGCAAATTAGTTGAGAACACAGATCACTAATAACTGTAAAGCACTGCTGGACATAAGATTGATTCAGATAACCCAAATGCTCTAGCCAAAGACAGATGTAAAGAGTGGAGAAGCAAGGAGATTAAGAGACGAGAGTCTGTCAAGAGATTCATAACAATAACGAAGTCAATCAATCAGTCTCATGTGCTACCTCCCCAAAGTATTTTTTATGCTTTTGAGCTGTGAACAAACCCAGGAGCAAATGTTTGTTAGTGTATGTGAATCATCAAGTCAATAACTACCTTCAGGTACAAAAGTTATGACCAGAGTGAAGATGAATTTGCTGAACAGAGAAGTAAGCTTTACACAGTTTGTTGTTAATATAATAATTTTACATTACCTTTGTTTATATCTATATTCGACGCTGAAGCAACAGAATATCTGGAGAATGTGGAAGTAAGCGACACTCCTTCTGTGGTGGAGGGTCTCAGTTGACTACCCACTTCCTGTAGAGGCAGGGAAATGATTGCTTGGTTTGATTCGAGTAGATAGAAAATAAATACAGACATTCTCTGGGGCTGAGCATTTGTCATTGAGTGAGGCAAAGTTTAGCACACCATTGATATGGAGAGAAATGGAAACCTTACATTGATTTAAAAAAAAGAACCGGAATCTGGACCTGAAGTGCTGTAATCTCCAAGGCTACGGACCAGGTGCTGGAAAGCTGGGATTAGAATGAGTGGCTAGCATATACAGCCAGTGCAGACACAAATGGACTGAAAGGTCTTGTTCCACATCATAATTTTTCTATGGTTCGACGGACAGCTTCCCATAGCCTATGGGAGGAGTTCAGTGTCAAAAGACGCAGCATTCAAAATGGAACTAAGGCAACTTGAAGACAGGGGAAGTACAACATCAGCTAGGAACCACGTGGGCCGGATGAATTTCAGTTTCCTGTTGTTCACGTTCAAGCATTTCACCTCACTTCAAGTGAGGATGGAGATCTCCAAAATGATACAACTCCACCAAAAGACAAAACCAAAACCTTGTTGACAGCCAAAAATGAACAAAAGCACAAAAAAGGTGAAGCATCCACAGTATAATGAACACAAAGAACGAGCAAAATTTTAACCAAGTGTAGAAAATTTACTACTCTTACTTCTTTGTTTGATTACCAGGCAGGAATGAGCTAGAAATGAGAAGATGGAAAATGGGCTGGATCATTCATAGTACACTCAAAGCTCACGATGTCAGATAAGCAAAAAAGATTGCCTTGCAAATAAAATCAACAGGAATCTGTTGAGTGCCCATGAAATTATCGTCACACAATCACATTTACTTTGCCTGTGGCTTTTAACCAGCGAAAGAGGGTCAGACTAGCCATTCTACTAATGTTACCAAAATTCTAAGTTGACTGCTAATGGCATCACCTATGGAAAATGGCAGAAGTGACTCAGGCACTTAGAATACCACTCAATGCTTCCGCAACTGGAGGCACAACCATCTCAAACACTTTCACCTCAGCTTCAGTCCTGGCCAACTCCTGAACCCTCGTGAGAAAAATATGGTAGGCAGGCCCGACTACGTACATTATAAAAAAGGGGAGTAGATGCAGGTAAGAAGATAATTAGAGAGGTAAGGGATACATTGAAGGTAAGGCTGCTGGCAACAACTCACATGAACAGTGGAATGAAGAGAAGCATCAATCCACTTTAATACAGCAATGGGATGCTCTCCATGATAATACCTAACGTACTGGCAATTCAAAAATTATTCTCTCCAAAACTCTGTACACTCTCACCTTGTCCTCAGCAACTAAACTTCTTCCTTTTCTGTCACTCTCTTCCTCCTCTCTCTTCTCCAGCTGATCCTGGGTTTTTTTCTCTGTGGCACCTCCCAAGGTCTTTTCTGCCTCTTTTAGATCTGTGAGTGTTACACCCTATGAACAAATGCAAGTACAATTAAAAAAAAAAAAAGAAACAAAACCACTTCTTTGCTGTAGTACATTCAGGGTAGGGAACAAACCATAGGTTCCAAGTAAACTCCACAGATATCAAATAAAACATTAACATTGACAAAGAGTACTTACAGTGTCAATTATTGGGGAACTCAATCACAGCACAGTTGGTACCAAGTCCACTTTTGTTTGTCATTCAGATAAATGATTTAGATGAAAACACAGAAGGCATAGTTAGCAAGTTTGCAGAGGACACCAAAATTGGTGGTATAAGGTATAGTGAAGAAGGTTATCTAAGATTACAAACAGATCTTGATCAATTGGATCAATGGACTGAAGACTGGCAAATGGAGTTTAATTTGCATACATGCAAGGTATTGTATTTTGGTAAAACATACAAGGGTAGGACTTATGCAATTAAAAGTAGGGCCTTGGGCAGTGTTGTAGAACAGAGACACCAGGAGTTCATGTACATAATTCTTTGTTGTTTGTGTTTAGCATGCTTGCCTTCATTGCTCATTCTATTTGAGTAGAAGAGTTGGGAAGTCATGTTGAGCTTGCATAAGACATTGATGAGGCCTCTTCTGGAGTACTGTGTCCAGTTCTGGTTGCCCTGTTATAGGAAGGGTATTATCAAGCTGGAGAGGGTTTAAATGAGATTTACCAGGAATGGAGGGTTTGATTTATAAAGGAGAGGGTGGATAGGCTGGGACTTCTATCATGGAGCGTAGGATGTTTATAAATGGTAGGTGTCATTTCATTGGGGTGGGTAATTTCAAGACTAGAGGGCGTATTTTTAAAGGCGAAAGGAGAAAGATTGAGACACAGGGGCAATCTTTGTCGATATAAAAATTCCCAGAGGAAGTAGTGGATGCCGGTACACGGTTACATTCAAAATAGCACATGAATAAGAAATGTTTGGAGGGTTATGAGCCAAGCACAGGCAGGTGAGACTAATGTAGGTTGAGATTATGGTCGGCATGGACTGGTTGGACTGAAGGGTCTGTTTCTGTGTTGTATGACTATGACTTGAAACTCAAATTGGAACAAATAAATGGCAAGACTGCAAATGCACATGGAATAGTCTATAATCACTTCCCTCAATATGTCATTAATTTGTCTGGAATAGACCTGTACCAAAAACAACAGTTTTCCAGATGCTGCCTGACCTACTGTGTGGTCCCTGTATTGATTTCAGATTTCCAACTGCTATTTTCTTTTCTTTGAAAAGAAACTATCCAATAATTAATCCTGCATTCAGACAAGAATTGGTTTTGGAACAAAGGCATTGACTTTAGATAAGCAGTCCAAAAAAGGTAGCTATTGGCAGATGTCACTACATTTGTGCTAAATATGGCAATTAACAACTGCAAAAGTAAAACAAAGTCACACTTCAAGTCACATTAAAGCAGGTAGTTTTAGCTTTGGTTACACATGTTAACACTGACCTGCGTCGATCGTCTGGACTGTCGTGCATGCCGTGACCGTGCCTTTCTTTGGGATTCTGATTCCTCATCACGCACTGGGGTAAGATATAACCTGCAGAAATGGGAAGCAGATTTAAAATGATTTGCTATACTTAGAAAATGGCCAAATATAGTAAAAGAACCCCACACTTATCAGTCAGACAGCAGGGTTGCATACCTGGCATACTTGCTCTGACATGGACCCTTCTAATTCTGGGAAATTGGACAACATATTAAACTGCCAGCAGTATAGAAACACACCTTCATTACAGATGGCTTGTACACAGAAAGGCTAGTAATAACATGATCCTCCAGCTTCTCAGGACAGGCTAATTAATTCACATTTTAAAATGGTCAATCATGGAATCATCGATGATTTAGGGTGCAGGTGTACCTGAATTTGTAGCTATTACTGGCTGTGATACATTTCATGAAGCATTTTGTCATGCCAGTTCTGCAGAGGTTGTTCCATGGTTGAATGGAGTTTATCCAGAGTCATGGTCTTTGTAATACTAAGTCCACTGCTTGGAGTGCATAAACTCCATTAGAACCACAGAATAGTTACAGCACAGAAAGAAGCCATTCAGCCCATCATGTTGGAGCCATCTTAATAAACTAGCTGTCAATCTAATCCCACTTTCCACCACCTGGATCATAGCACTCCAGGTGTAGATCGAAAGATCCTTTTAAGTGAGCTGAGGATTTCTGCCTCCACCACCAAACCAGGCAATGAAATCCAGACCCCACCACCTGGGAAAACAGCTTTTCCTTTTATCCCCTTTAATCCTTTAAAAATCAGCTTAAATCTATGCCCCTTAGTAACTGACCTCTCTAAAATGGGATGGAATAACAGGGAAGACCTCCATAGAAGCCCCTCACTATTATGCGCATCTCAACTGAATCACCCCTCAGCATCTTCCTTGGATTCTAGGAAGTGCAGAGGATCAAAGATCTCTGCCTACAGATCCTTCAAGGACAGGTGGATAAGACCGTTTGGAAAACATATTGATACTTGCCTTTATTACTCAAGGTACTGAATACAAAAACAGGGAGGTTATGACGGAGACATATATAATGTTAGCAATGCCACAGTTGAAGTACTGTGTGGAATTCTGGCCCCTATGCTATAGGGAGAATGCAACTGCCCTGAAACAGTTCACAGGAGATTCACAGAATGTTGCCTGAGCTGGAGTGCTTTAGCTAAGACAGTCTAGATAGGCTGGGGTTATTTGTCTTAAAGCAGAGAAGGCGGAGGGAAACCGGTTTGAGAAATACACAGTAATGAAGGGCATAGATGAAGTAGATAGCATGAAACTTTTCCTTAAGGCAAGAGGTAGGATGCTGTCTACTTGTCTAAAAGGCTGGTAGAGGCAGAAACTAGCATAACATTTAAGAACTATTTAGACGAACACTTGAAATGCCATAGCATACAAGGCTATAGGCCAGGTGCTGGAAAATGGCACGAGAGCAGATAAGTGCTCAATGATTGGCATAAACATGATGGGCCAAAGAGCCTCTTTCTGCACTGTGAAAACTGACTTTACACCTGCTTGGAATAAAACATTTGTATGCCCTAATTAACATGTTTTCGCCTTGAACCACAATTGTATTTGTTCTTTACATCACTTAATCACAAAACTTTGATTTTGCCTGCTTTGTATCTGGCAAAAAGTGGGACACGTTACACAAACCTCAGCTCCAAAAGAAATGTCCTCTCTTCCACTGTTTATATCCTGGGTTTTGTTCCATCATTGATCTACTTTGTTTTTGCCTCTGCTAATCCAAATGTCAAAAGCTAACTTACCGACGCCTCTCTTTAAAATCAGTGGTGCCTGTCAACATGCCTGGAACGTCTTTTGGCACCTGGGAGCTGGGATCTCTACCCTGCTGGTAGGTAGAGCTTGAAATAGACAATGAAATAATTCAGTTAGAAATAAATAAATAAAAGCGGGTACAAAACAGATCTTTACAACTTTCAGTTATAAACAAAAGACATGTTGTATAGCCCCTGCTGCCTATTTCCCTTTTCTTTCTCAGGATGCACGTAGATACTAATTATACATTGTAGCCTTACGGAAAAACCAGTTACTCTCAGCTTCACCGTAACATTGCAATATATTTTCCTCATAGCCTTCTCTAACTTACTGAGTGAGACACATGGACATGGCAGTGTAAACGATACAGGATTCAACTCAATAAATCACATTATACATGGTTAGTTGTGAAGCTAAATTCAGTTTAAAAGAAACCTGCCAGTCTACATGCAAGACAGAGAAAAATTTGCTCAACTAAACTCCATTTGCTTAAGAGTGCAATGGTGCAGGACCACTAATGTAATTTACAATGTATGCACACACTGATTCATTCATTGCTGTGATTGCTAAAGATTGTAGTGAATTGGTGCAAGTGTACTCAATTTCCATAATCTTATGTTAGAGGGAATAGCTGGCATTAAAAAATTAAGTTCTGTATGTTAAAACTAAAAATGAGAGAATTATTTCAAGAGGTTTGACACCATTTCCCTTTCAGATCAAAAATGGAAAGATCCTCACAAAAAAATATTCCAATTCATCTTGGAAGCAACTGAAATTTGCTTTTTATTAATTGTGACTTACAGGGAAACACGACTGTTGTTCAAACATAATTCACAGAATTATACAGAATTGTTAAGGTGCAGGAGACAGCTATTTAGCCTACAGTCTGCATCAGTTCTCCGAGCATTTCAACTGAGGGCCAATCTACTGTTTATTCCCCATAACCTGCACGTTGTTTCTGTTTCATTAATCATCTAATACCTTCTTGAATGCTTCAATTGTGCCTCCATAACACTTTCAGGCAGTGCATTCCAGATCCTAACTGCTCAGTATGGGAAAAAAATTCTCACCTTGCATTTGCTCCTCATGGAGAACACTTTCAAACCCTGGACCTTGATCCACTGCATGGGAATAGTTTCCCCATTCACTATGTCCACACCCTCTCATGACTTTGGAAACTTTTATCAAACCTCCTGTTAGCTTTCTTCTCTCCAAGGGACAGTCCAAACTCCTCCAATCCTTCCTCATAATCGAAGAAGGCTCATCTCCGAAACCATTGTCTAAGACCTCTTCTGCACTGTCTGCAATGCATTCACATCCTTCCTACAGTTTGGTATCCAGAATTGTACACACTATTACAATGGGAAGATGGGCATTGTGGTAATGTCATTGGATTACTAATCCAGAGATGCAGGATAAATACTCTGAAGATGGATTAGAATCCCATTTTGGCATGAGAATTATTTTATTAATTTATGGGATGTTGGTGTCACTGGCTAGGCCAGCATTTATTGCCCCTCCCTAATTGGGCAGAGGGCAGTTAAGAGTCAATCATATTGCTATTGGTCCAGAGTCAGATATAGGCCAGAACAGTCAAAGACAGCAGATTTTCTTCCCCAAAAAGGAATTAGTGAACCAGATGATTTTTAACTACAATCAACAAATGGTCACCCTGTGACCACTAGGCCAGCTTTCCATTTCCAAATTCTTGTTAAATTCAAACTTCACCATTTGCTATGACAGGATTCAAATACATCACTAGGACATTAGCCTGATCCTTTGGATTACTAGCCCAGTGACATTATCACTAGGTCACTTCTTCTCCAGTATTTGATAAGGACTGGACAAAAGGATTCACTGAATCACAGTGTTACAGTGAAGAAGATGGTTATTTGGTTTATCATATTCCCACTGGCTCTCTGCACGAGCAATTCACTTTATGCTATTACCATCCCATCTTCTCCCTTTACCTCTGCACAGACATTTATTTGAAGAATAATTACCTGCAGATGGCCTCAATTGAACCCACCTCCACCATACGTTCAGGCACTGGATTCCAGATCTTAACCAATTGCGACGCGAAACAAAAAAGTACTACTACTACTACTACTATCACTCATTTCTTTTGCCAATTTTAAATTAATTAAAATTTGTTTTAGACCAATGTGGTGACCTTTCATTTGTGCATGCTCTAGAAGCACAAAGGAGGATCTTTACTCCAGGTAACTGATCCAACGTAAGGATTATTTGCCCAATTCTAACCTTACTGCATGCTCAGCCGAAGTCTCAGGCACACTGAGCATCCTTCCAATTGGAGTGGGTGGCACCCTGGCCAGCCGGGTCTCGTGTATTCCTTTGTCCTGCAAAATTGGGTGAAGAAAAGAATGTTGCATTTCAGTAGTCACACAGACTTCCTCCAAAACAATCTCTGTAAAAATGACTGGTTCCTTCCCAACTTACAACAGGTTACAACAAGAAATGGAAATTCCAAAGGATCCAGAAGCAAGTCACGACAACCTGTGTGGGTCACTGGTGGCATTTCCTTAGATGGAGCGGTAGAGCAGTGACGTTGAAATGACGGAACGAGATTAACAGTACGGAATCGTAGCAGAAATCCAGATACAAGCAATGTCAGAGGAACCATTGTTGAAGATACCAATCACAAAGCATCTTTAACAGCACAAATGACCCAGGCCCTTAAGATGGCCATTACAAATAAAAATTTTGATCCTGAATCATAGGAGATACCAGGACAAAAAAGGTCCAAATGTTTAGTCAAAGAAGTAGGTTCCAAGGAGGATTTTAAAGAAGACAGGTGGAGAGGCAGAGGAGCTTGTGTGGGGAATTCCAGGACTCAAGACCAAGGAATCTGAAAGTATGGAAGCGGAGGTGTAGGAATAAAATTTCAGGAGGCTCAAGTTCCACTTTCTAAACATTCCTTGAAGTTGGGAGCAACATCTTTATTCCTTATTTGGTTTATTGGCTTCAGAAAGCTAATTTGGGGACAAGGCCCCAGAACTCAAAAAGTAGCATTTAGATTGGTGATCAAGCCAATTGTAATGGACAAAACACCTCAAACTCTGTTAAATTTCAAGCAAGTTAGTTTGTCTGCAGTTAACTACAGATAACCTAGGTTTTGTTCAGAACTTTAACTTTTAATACTCTTTTTTCATTTAAGCAACTTGCAAGAGTAGACTTCTTTACATTTGCCAAGCTCTCTTTTGATGGTTGATGTTTCCTCTTTCTCAGTGCTCCACTGGTAGCAATATTCCAACTGCTGCTCATGCCCACCTGTTCCCCAAAACCACATCCTCTTTTTAACAAGATTACCAATACCCCAGATCACCACAATCTGATTACAATAATTACTATGCAACACTCAACTACAATGGTGAAAGAAAGGCAGTGACTCAGTTTCTTCTGAAGTAAAATAATACCTGCAAATATTCTGATTCTTACTATAAACGAGCAGCTTTTCACATGTTCAGGTTTCTACTTTTTAAAAATCAGCATCTTTATTCTCTCAATACCATGTACCAAGCCCAGCTGATGTGGATATTCTTTCCCTCTGGCTCACAAATGGTTGTCTTTTCTACATCTCTCCCATTGTTCTTCCAGTATACACTGGGTCAGATGGTTTTGGGTTCACTGACTGGAGTTGTAACAATCTCTGTTGACACCCCAGTGCAGCTCTCCCTCAGTACTACACCATCAGAGATTCTGCCTTTCAAAAAGATATTAAACCCAGTCTGTCTTGTCAAGTGGTTGCGGTACTGTTAAAATGTTTGTGCTGGCTAGAGAAACCATACACATCCCAGTCTCACAAGCCAGTGAGAAAATGCACTTGAAGATGGTTTTGTTATGAGGGAACTGCCACTGCCTGTTGAATATACTACACTTAAAGTCAAAGTCATTCTGTTTAGTAGCACAGCCTTCAGAGTCCTGCACTCTCAGGTAGATCAAAATAGTTTGAACAGGAGTTTCTGAAGAAAAGGTCAAGCAGTTTCATTTAATTGAAAGCACTAGAAGGAAGGTGTGCACACTGTTACCAAAATGCATCAGGGAAGAACAGTTGCACAAAAATAAGTCTTTCAGCCTAACTAGTGCATGCTGGCATCTAGGTTCCACACACAAACACCTCCGATCTTCTAACCCTTTATCCCTTTCTCCATCATATGCTTATCTAGCTTCACCTTCAATTGATCTTAAAAATGTTTGTCTCAACTATTCCAAGCAAGCTCCATCTTCTCACTTCTACAAGTAAAGATGTTTCGTTTGAATTCTAGATTTTGTTTAAGGGACTGTATTATATTCATGATCTATGTGTTTGTTCTTCCCATGTGATTCCTCTTTGATAACTTTAAAGGCCACTATTCAATGTCACCCTGAAGACTGTATAGTTTTAGCCTATACAGTCTTTCTTGATAGATATAACTTCACAGTTATGTTGCTATCATCCTCAATACTTTCAGAAGGGTTTATAATAATTTAAATGAGTGGGTGACAATGTGCAGTAAAGTGAAGTTAATCATTTTGGTAGGAGAAACAGAATGCAGACATTTCACTTCACATGGTGTGACATTGGGAAATTTTGGAATTCACAGGAACCTGTGATTCACAAACAAATCACAGAAAATTTAACATGCAGATATAGTAAACAACCAAGAAAGCATATTGTATGTTAACCTTTATTAATAAATTACTAGATCGCAAAAGGAGTAACGCAGTTTTGGTGCAACTCAGTAGGGCCTTGGTGAGAGCACATCTAGAATACTGTGTATAGATTTGGTCTCCCTGTCCAAAGAAGGAATTATTTACTTTGGACAGAGTGTTATAAAGGTTCATCAAACTATTTCCTAGAATAAAGGGATTGTCCCAGGGAGTGTTAGAGTAGACTAGGCTTCTATTTGCTAGAGTTTGAATCAATAAGAGGTGATTGCATTGAAGCATCTAAATTTGCTATAAGGTTTGACACTGAGAATTCTGTACTTTGAACAATTCGCTTCCTATTATAGCACTTTAAATTCCTTATGTTTTAAGATACTTCAAAAAAAATGAATTAATATATATCCTGACTGCACTGCATTGTTTCACCTCAAACTAATTAAGGAAATCAAATAGGTGACTCCACAATTGGGTACAGTTATGCAGAAAATAAGTTGAGGGTGCAGGCAAAACAGCCGTGTCACATTAATATTTCAAAACAACATTAAAGTTTGTAATTACTGTTTGTGAATTGAATAGTTGTGAATTGATAACTACCCAGACACCTGGGTAAAGCACAACAGAAAGTGCAACACGTTCACGCAAATGGACAGCCTACATTTCAAAACAGCAAGCCAAATAATGAACTCCACTGACCTTTCCATCTGAACCTAATCGCGGGGAAGAAGCAGAGCGCTTGACGCCGCCCAGTGGGATCTTCTCAGGAGAGTGTTGCGCATCAGGTAATGTAACATAGCTGCCAGTTTTTCGAAGTCCAGTACGCCAAGCTGCAGGAGGGGCTTCTTGCTTGACACTTGGCTTCGTAGACAAGTCTGCGTCCTGCAGACAAAGTAGGAAAGATCAATTAAAATGCAATTATACCTTTGATAGACATTTCTGCTTGCACTGATTTGGATATTTGATTGGAAGTTGGATGGCTGCAAATAATTAAAAAACAAACAAACAAACAGAGAAAGGATATGGGACATGCACAGGATTAAATTCTCCCTCATTAAATGCCTTTTACCCTGGCTGAATAGTCAGGGATCAGTCTCAGGCTAAGAATCGAGTTGAGGAGAAAGCAGAAGTTGTCAATTCTCCACCCTGGTGTGGATGCTCAAATCATATTCATGAGTGACAGATTTTTGTGAACGATAAGGGTAAACATTGGGGATAAAAAGGAGGAAAAATGCATTAAAGGTAAAGATCCAGCCACAATATTATGAATGACAGAGCAAGCTCAAGGTCACGTAGACCTCAAAAAAGGTCTACTCCTACTTTTGTTTATGTCGAGTAATCAGGACTCAGATACTGACAACATTTATTTTGGTATCATGTTTTTAAGAGCTGCTTTTAGGTCAATTTATCACAGTTCAGGGAGTGGAGGGCTAATTTCCCAACCAGAAATCCAGTGTGATCTTTGCTTACAATTTGTAGCATATATCCATGTGGAGTCCTGGCCATCACATTATAGGAAGGATGTGAATGCACTAGAGGAGGGTGTAGAGAAGATTTACCAGAAAGCTGCCTAGAGGGTATAGACTGGGGTTGTTGCTTTCCTTGGAGCAGCAAAGGTTGAGGGGTGTTTTGATAGGAGGTGTATAAGATTATAAGGGAACATTGGATAGGAAGGCACTTTTTCCCTTTGTAGGGAATAAAGGAGAAATGTTTTCTCAGAGGCGTGTGGAGGCTTAGAACCCACTGCCTGAAAGGGTGTTCGAGTCAAACTCTTGTAACACTTAAGCAGAGTTTAGATATTCACATAGCCAAAGTTGCAGACCAAAAATTTGAAAAATGGATCAGTGTAGACAGATCTTTGTTAACCGATGTAGGTACAATAGGCAAAAAACAGCAGCATTCTTCTGTGCTGCAAATGTCTAGGAGTCTACATTCACAAGTTACTCGTTTGAGCTGATGTAACCCTATGCATGCTGCTGCTCAAAATCAGGAATACTTTAAGTACTAATGGCTATTTTTCCCTTTTTCTGGAGGATGTAAGCAAGGATGTAGTTATTACCAATCACTACACACTCAAGAAGGCAGTGGTGGTTTTTTTTTTATTGTCCAGCTGTTTCATTGTAAATGAACTAAATTGTCTTTGTTTTGAAGGAAGCCAGAGCAACAAATATTGAAAATCCAAGTATTATTCATAAAGCTATTACTTTGGCATTGAATGTGGGCTTCCAGAGATTCGACTACTGTTAAAAATGAAACAACTGTTACTATCCCAGACTAGACCACAAAATCTGCTATTAAATAGCTAGAGTCCAGTAACGTTTTGTTTGAAAAAGTAGCCAGTGAGATCACATGTACTTACTAAGAGACTACAACTACAAAATGCCATTGTTTGAACATACAATAACCTCTTCTATACAAGGTTAGAAGAGATATATAAATAAAAAGAACTCATACTCTAACAGAATTAATTGGCGGTAAATATGCACAGACAAAATACAGTCAAACACCCTAGAGATCACATCAAATCACAAATCAAGTTGGATCCAGGAATTTCTCAGCTACCCTGGATGTTGTGGTGCCATGGGTCAGAATCTCATTAAAACTTTACAAGGTATTCGAATTCTTCTCTTTTGATGACCTTTTGGGATCCTCTCATAAATCACCCCAGATATGGCCTCAACTGCTCATTCCAGTAGTAAGCTTGCCTTTCCTGGGTTTATACTCCCCCGGATTTGTTGGGAAGTTGAATTTCAGCACCTACCTCGCAGACACAGCTCCAGCATTTCACAGGCAGCTGGCTAGCTTTACCAAACCAGTACTGCCATGGACTTTTTCTTCCACTCTAAGCTGCACCAAGAGGCATAAGGGGGCTAGTGAAATAGAGATGGAGGCGGCAGGGAGATACAGCAAGTCAGCCTGGGGTTGGGGGTAGAGTTAGATCACGGGGACGGGGGATGCGCTGGAGAACTGTGGGGAAGGGGGTTGGGGGTTATGCTGCAAAGGGACAAAGGGTGGGGAGTGGAGGAGGCGACAGAACAGGGAGACAGAGGCTGCAAAAGGAGAAGGAACAGTTTCAAGCCCCTTAAAAAGAAACAAATACTCAGCTAAGTAGAAACTACAGAAGTTTGTAATCACTGAAGTAACAAAATACTTGCAAAAGAATTTGAAGAAATATTGCAGATGTTCACAGAATCATAGAAAGCCCACACAGTGTGGGACCAGGCCAGTTGTCCCATCAAGTCCCCATCGACCATCTGAACTGCATTTCACCAGACCCACCCCCCACCCTATTCCTGTAACCCCGCATTTCCCATGGTAATCCACCTAGCCTACACATCCCTGGATACTTTGGGCAATTTAGCACGGCCAATCCACCTAATCTGCAGTCTACAGGTGAGGCTGGAATAGCTACACTGAATTTCCTGCTCCTCTGATGCTGTCTGACTTGCTGTGCTTTTCTAGCCTCACACCTATAGACACTGACACCTGCAGTCCTTATTGTCTCCAAGCAACCTAATCTGCACATTTTTGGACTGTGCGAAGAAACCAGAGAACCCAGAGGAAACCCAAGCAGACATAAGAAAAAACGTACAAACTCCACCCGAGGGTGGGATGAAACCCAGGTCCCTGGCACTGTGAGGCAGCAGTGCTAACCACTGAGCCACCGTGCCAACAACAAATGAAAGCAAGCAATCAGGACTTGTCTGGAAGCCATATGGGAAAAATGCAGTGGATGACTGTGTTCATGGCACTATGTCAATTGTCAAATTTAAATCTGAGAACGAGATGTGATGCAGTTTGAATATTCTAGCTTTAAGAATATACTATGGAAATGCATTAGCTGTGGCTTCTCCAATCTGGAAGCTGTATTTAGAGTGACTGTTGTTTATGTCGAAGCAAGCATCAGTTATTTTGGAAAAAGGTTCTGTTGCTAGCATCTACCTGTTATCTTGTCCCAATTTAACAGTTGCACTATCTAGGAGATTAATGTTTTCATTATTTGTTGCGGCTTTAGGATTAGTGGATGGTGGATAGTTACTGAAGACAATAATGAATTCTAACTCTCTGTTTAGAAGTTCAAATGCCCATTACAGCAGCACAAGTACAGAAATCAAGGTTACCAATTGACTGCATTACCTGATGGAAAGGAGTGTGTGCAACTGAAAAGAAAGTTCCCAAAAAGAAGAGAAATTGTGCTTTGCATCACTCAATACCAAATAACATGGCAGGTTGGGTTAAAAATCAAATGAGGCAGGAGGCCACAAACTGGGATCCCACAGCTGCAACCAAATACTAGCCCCTCCACCATCTTCCATTAGCAATTCAATGTAAAACAAGTGAATGTGACTCCTCTATGTTAACAAGCAAACAGTGCAGCACAAGGTCATAACCGAAAATTGAGCAATGTACTGCAAATGCAACCCTGTTCTGATTCAGAGTGTTAACAGTGGCAAAACACAAAATTGCACAGCTATAAATAACCAAAATAGCTTTAGTCTGCAAAGCTTTTCACATTCAGGTCAGTCACATGCTACATGCCAGGCAGCATACACCCACTACCTGAGGTTGCAAAAAACATTGAAGTGCTTTATCTTGCTCATTTCCACTAATACTTCATCCTTTATCAACTGCACACAATTGTGATGCTAATGGGGTTTATTTGACGTTCCAAGCTGCCAAATAAACACCGACACTTCCTGCAGTATTTCCTGCTCCTTACATCCGGTATTTTCAAATTAACTTTCCTGCCTGCATGCAGAAGTTTCAACAGCACTTAGTGCTCAAGGTGTCTTCATTAATGCATCCTACCCTCTTTGCACAGGAGACACAAGAAATAGATACATGGTTAAATGTCCAAGCCTGCCCACAATCATTCATTCAGCTTTCTGCTGCCTCTTAAAACACATGCTACTCTGGTTATTTTGCCCTCACTGCAAACAATGATCTGTGACTTATTTGTTAATGTATTTCACGTTTGGTTCAGTTATTAAATCTAGTTTCACATTGTATTCTGTTAGTACTACATAGGATCTGCCATACCCCAACCTTTGCAGCTCTAACATCATCCCTTGTCTAGGCTTTAGACATCCATGTCTCTCCAGTAAAATTGTTACTTTCTTCCACCCTGTTCAATCCCAGGTAGCTCTCCTTTAAACGGGGTACAAATGGTTTAGCAATTAATTGCCAAATCTAGCACACCATGCCAAACACTGTTGGGCCCTGTCAAAAAAAACACCCACCACTCCAGGTCGTTCTTCAATGCAAAGATAATCCTGATTCTTTTTCTTCACAGGTTTCACATGTATACTTAAACCCGCCAGCTCTGCCTCACCAACTTGTGTTGTTGGCCTATGGACTGACCAAAGCTACCATCTTTGACACTTACCCACAAGCATTGCTCCCTCTGTAGCAATTGCTTCCTAATTACCATCTCAGGCTGAGGTAGTTGATTGTGGCCTTGGATGTCCAATTCGACTCCAAGGTCAGCTTAAGTACACTACCATAAACATCACCTACTCCCACCTTCACAATCCCATCCATCAGTGCATCTGTTGCCAGAATCCCAACTCATGCTTTCACTAGTGCAGTCTCTAACATTCTTGCCCTCAATTGGGTCCGACCCATCTCCCGCACTTCTGCCCTCACCCCTTCTCTTCCCTCACACAACAGCGATAGGGTTCCCCTTATCCTCACCTACCATCCCACCAGAATCCACATCCAGAAGATCATCAGATGCCATTTCCACCACCTCCAGCAAGATGCCAACACCAGACACACATTCCCTTCCCCTCCCTGGTCCTCCTTCTGCAGGGACGTTCTGCTCGCAAAAAGGACCCTGAACTACCTGTTGCCTGCCACTTCAATGTGCCACCTTGCTCCCTGGCCAACATCTGTGTCTCCGGCTTGCTACAGTGTTCCAGTGAAGTCCAACGCAAGCTGGAGGAACAACACCTCATTTTCCGCTTGGGGACCCTACAGCCCTCCGGACTCAATATTGAGTTCAATAATTTTAGGGCCTGAACTCTCCCATGTCCCAGCCCCCAACCTCACACACCAGGCCTTGTTACCACATAGCCTGCCACTACACACCCCCTGTTGTTAGTCACTAACAGTCCCCATTAACAACTACTCACCCTCCCAGCCTGATCGTTAGCAACTCCTTTGTCTGTCCAAGTGTCTCTCTCTCTCTTTGGGCTCTATCCTATCGTTTACTCCCTACCCCACCAACCTCTGCATATAAACTGACATTTTCCCAGCCACTATCAGTTCTGAGGGTGGGTCACCAGACCCGAAACGTTAACTGTTTTCTCCTCCACAGATGCTGCCAGACCTGCTAAAATATATCCCCCAACTCATCAGTTGCCCTACTCTTTATCTGAACACAGAATCTTAGTTCAGCACCTAAGCAAAGTCATCATTCAACACTCTTACCTTCAGATTTGATGGTGCGAGGGTTACAGGAGGTGCTAGAGGGATACCTTCAGTGCCATTCAAGTTATTGGTATTGTTACTGAGGACAGGTTTCTTGTTCTTTTCTGTGCAAAAATGAAAGGAAATTCTGTTCAGCAACAAAGACCAATTGGTGCATATAAATAGGAATAGAAGATGACCATTCGACCCACTGAGTCCGTTCCAACATTCAATAAGATTGTGGCTGATCTGCTTGCACTTTAAATTCTATATTCCTTTCTATGCCTTAACCTAACAAGAATCCATCTATCCCCACCTTTAAAAGTGTTTAATGATCGAGGTTCCACACCTTCTGAGGTGCAGGGTTCCAGAGTTGCACAGCTGAGGAAAAAAAAAAGTGTCTCTTCATCTCTATCCTAAGATGGCAACCCCAAACTCCAAAACAATGCTGCCTAGTTTGAAAACAATGTGGCAGGTCATTTCTACAACAAGAATACCATAAACCTTTATGTTTGTGCCACATACTAAATGGCTTTAAATTAGATAAACGCCTATTTACCATCCTTATTTATTTGAGACACAGATGTATTTCTCCAATTGTACAAAATGGCTTGATTATAATCAAAGTAGGTTTTACTCAGATTGAAAATGAAATGTGCTCAATCACGTCATTTTAATCCTTATTTTTAAGAAAGATGCTAGGAAATAGGGAAATGTTTTGCCGTTTCTCTCCCCCAAAATAATTAAATTGTCATTACCAGTTTCACATTCTGAATCAGACTCGGATGCCTCCTCAGTTTCTGAACTCGAACTGCTGGATTCCTCTTTCTTGCTTTCATCCAAAGGCAAGGTTTCCAAGGTCTTACGCTCCTTTGACAGATCTTGCACTGAAATCTTCTCTTTGCTGCTCATCCTGCACACAGAGCTCCTGGTACAATAGAAGTGGTATTAGAAAAAGGATCGAAAGCAATAACCTTTGTACTCAGACGTTTGCAGCACAAAAACAGGGACTTTAGCCTATCAAGTCTATGCTGATCAAAAACAACTATCTAACTATTCTAGTCTCATTTTCTAGTACTTTGCCCACAGCCCTGTATGTCTTGATATTACAAGTGCACATCTAAATACTTCCTAACGTTGTAAGGGTTTCTGCTCTACCATCCTTGTAGGCAGCAAGTTCCAGATAATCACTACCCTCTTGGGGAAAAAAAAAGTTCTCCTCTAAACCTCCTGCCCCTTAAATCTATGCCGCCTGGTCATTGATCACTCCATCAAGGGTAAAAGTTCTTTTCTGTCTATCCAATCTATGCTCCACATAAATTTTACACATCTTAATCATGCCCTCCACTAAATCTACCCTGCTCTAAAGGAAAACAAACCCATAACTAATCCACAATCCACAAGTTGGGAACAATGTAACACTGCCAAATAATAAACTATCCATAAAAGGTCCACCTGCAAACACAGTCTTGTACTTTGATGTTGCATTACTTTGTTTTGAAATGAACAGAAATTAGTTCAATTAACTTAAATCAGTTTTTAATATAAGCTAGTGTAATGTACTGCTGCAATTGCTCTAGATATTTATACCCTTCAGCAGTAACATGTTGATTAAACTAGTAGCTCAACAATCTCTTTAAAGCCTCCCATCAGGTTTTCTTACTGCAATTCTCAAACTAAAAGCTTTACACCTGACTCTTCCATTAGCAATTCACCCAGTCTTTATTTTAAAACCTGCTTTGATTTCCTGTTCTACAATGCTTGCTAGTTCAGCTCCCCATTTCTTACAATGGATAGGTTCATGAGAAAACAATTCTCCCTGTTCGACACAAAGGCTGCTGGAAGTTGGTTGCACCACTGCAGTATATAGTAAGAATTGTGCTGTATGTTGTGGACCAAAATTGAATAAAACTAAACAGCATGCTGTAACTAATTTCAGTTAAACTGCATCAGTGCTTAGTATGAACTGTAACCCCACGCCATTTGGAGGAGTTAAGTACACAAAAGATAATTGAACATTAACAAGGTGTTATTTACTTGTGGTTGCTTTTCTATTCAGTGCACTCAAACCAAGCAAAAACTAGTGAATAATCACAGATTGTTCCATCTAAAATAAAACTGAGCACTTAGGACGATAACGTCACCATCAAAAGTTGCCAGTTAATGACTCAGTCATTACAACACAGAAGGAATCCACACAACCAAACAAGTCCATGCCAATAACGCAAATATGAATGAATTTATGGCCAGTATAAACTGACTGTTAAGGACTCTTTTTGTGGTGAAGTGGTAGTGTCCCTATGTCTGGGTCAGAATGTCCAGATTCAAGTTCCACTTGCCCCAGATATATGCCAAAACATGCCTGAACAGGCTGATTAAAAATATCTCAAAGTGACTGCCTGATTTATATATTGGCGGTTTTAAATTATGAGAACAATAACTTATTTTACAATTATATCACCTTTGTAAGGTATGAAATTTTGCTTTGATGTCCTATTTTTCTTTGCCCTCAATCCCTCTTTTAAAACCAAAGTTCACATATACGTTTTCCAGCAAAGAAAAAAGTGGGGAAATCAGTAGTTTGGGCTCAGCAGCAGAAAAATACACTGTAGGACCCCGTCCATCCACAAATCCTGCCTCTGCAGGGATCAATTAATTTGGCATATTGCTGAAAGGAGATGTTGCCAAAGTATTTTGTTTTGCACTCATCAGGACAAATACAAGAATACAATATTTCAAAGAATTGCAACGAGTCATACAAGGGAAAAGCGGGCTGATTGGTTGGCAAATCAACTCTGACTCATTAAACTGTTGCCATGGAGAGAGCATGGCAAGCTACAGGATATAGGATATATAAAAAGTGGTGGAAGATGACACACTTCAACAACACACCTCTTTTGTCAGCAATATTTAAGTTCTGTGCCACCAAGCAACAAGTTTAACTTGGCATTCATGAATAATAGTCATCTGATCTTTCTACATCAGTTACATGCTGCCTTTACCATCTGACTCACTGGAGGAGTTAAACAATACTATTATAGCTGACCTGAGAGAACACTACCCACCCATCTCTAGTCATTCATGACTTACAGCAAAGATACATTCCAGTGAGGAAGGAGAATTCTAGGGAGGGGATAAACCAACCACGGATAAAGCAAATTAAGCATAGTATCAAACCAAAAAGAAGAAAGTATTAGTGGTAAACTGTAAGGAATGAAAGTTTTAAAAGCGAACAAAACATGACCAAAGACACAAGAGGGAGAAAATGAAAATTTGAGGGTAAACTAGCATGTAAAATTAAAAAAAAACAGTAAGAGCTTCTTCTACTATATTAAAAAGGAGGAAGTGAGAGGAACCAAAGCGAAGAAGCCCCATTGAGAATGCAGCTGAGAAAATAATAATATTGAACCTGGAAATGGCAAAAGAGTTGAATAAATATTTCACAGACTTCACAATACAGGATACTAACATTCTTAAAAAAAAATAAATCAAGGGGCAAAAGGTGGGGGAGAAATAAACAATAGCTATCACCAAAGGAAAAAAAAAATTACTAGTGAAACTGATTGGGCTAATAGCCAATAGTTTTCTGGACCTGATGGATTACATCCTACGATATTAAAGGATGTAGCTACAGAGAAAATGGATGCACTGGCGGTATTAAAAGACTGGAGTATAAAAATAGGGAGGCCTTACTAAATCAAGGCATAAGTCGGACCACAGGTGGAATACTGTGAAGAGTTTTGATCCCCTTAAAAAATTGGCACTGGAGGCAGTCCAAGAGATGGTTAATTAGGTCGACCCCAGATATGGAAGGATTTCCTTACAAGGAGGCAAACCAAGTAATTATGCTTGCACTTGGAGTTTAGATAAAAGAAATAATCTTATATTTCAATAAGGACATCTTAGGAGGCTTGACAGGGTAGGTGTGAAGAGGTGGTTTCTCCTTGTGGGAGAGTCCAGGATCACAGCGCATAATCTGAACAATCTTGTCTATTTAAGACAGAGAACAGAACATTTTCTTCGAGGTAATGAACTTGTGATATTCTTTACCACAGTGGGCTGTTCAGGCTGAGTCATTAAAAATCTGCCTTGAATAAACGTAAAGCAGCAAGGGAATCAAGGGTCATGGGGCAAAAAAAAGTCAAGAAAGTGGAGTTGAGGATTAGCAGTTCAGCCATGATCTCACTGAATGGCAGAGCAAACTCATAGGCCATTCAGCTCAACTTTGCTCCTATCTCTTATAGCCAATCACTACAACTGTAGTGAAGTCATTGTTCTCATCCAGCACAGCACAAATTAATAAGTGGCAAACAAGCATAATTCACAGGTGAGTCACCAATGGAAAAGGTCAAAACTTCCTTCAGCAGCCTGAGGGAAATTTGCTGTTCATTGTCCCAAGTTTGCCATGTTCACAGGGCAAATCTCATTTGGGATGAACACCGCACCTGTCCCAATGTTGGTCAAAACTCTGCATTACAAAATCAATAAGCATTGTTGAAATGTATGAAAGTCATTAACTGCTGTGACAATGGGTTTTGTAATCACAAGATTAGACTGTATTTAGTGCAGAGATTCCTTACTTCCTGGGTTTAGTCGGCTGCTGTTGTTGCTGTACAGAGGTTTCAATAATGGCTCTTTTCATCTTTTCTTCTTTTTCGGTCCTCAGCTGTGTTAATAGAAGAACGCAGACCAAATACTCAATTGTGTCGTAAATGTTCTAAGTTCTCAATTTGCTGCACCGATAATTTTAAGTTGTGCTGATTATAAAATGGGACACATAAGAGTAGGGAATAAAAGTGAACAGTTTTCTTTCTTCATCTGTGAACAAGTTTCATGACTTCTCTTCTGTCATTCTCCTGAAATCACCAATTCCTAGCCGATTATTATTGTCTGGACAGTCTCTGCTAACTTGCCCTATACTATTCTCAAGAGTTGGACAAGAGGCATAAGCTTCATTATTTGGGCCTTATCTTTGTCCCATGTCCAGGAGTATACACTTCCACCATAACTGGGCAGCAATTAGGAGAGGGATTACTAACTCTTAAAACTCGAGATGATGAGGCCTGTCAACTCCTCACTTAATCTAGTCAACAGGATTACTATTACTGAATCTCCTTTCAAAAACCACGCTAGCAGTTACCATGGACTAGAAACTCAATGAGCCATATAAGGAAATGTGACAGGGGCGGGTCAGAGTAACTAATCTCTATACTCCCAAATCCTGTCCATCACCTAAATGCAGAAGTCAGAAGTGTGATGAATACTATCCACTTGCCTGGATAATTACAGTTTCAAAAATCTTGATACCATCCAAAACAAAAACAGACTGCTTATATTGACAGAGATAGTAGGAACTGCAGATGCTGGAGAATCTGCGATAACAAGGTGTAGAGCTGGATGAACACAGCAGGCCAAGC